AGTGAGATTTGAGGGACGTGCTATGCATCCCACATAAATAAAACACTGCTAAAACTGACCCTCCAGTGATTAGGCTCAAGAATAAGCTCTTCTGTAGCCTCAGGAATATCTCAGAATATCTACAATGCAAAGTGTTTCTAATATTCAAAGCACTCACAGTAGTCCGGTTCTTTGCCAAGACCTGACAGCTTAGTGACACTACATTTCTCTGGATGCTGGGGCTGTGATAAAGCTCAGCTTTCCCCCCTCCCATCCCTAGGACTTTCAACAGATTTTTCTCAGAAAAATAAAACTACAGCCAGCCTCCTTATCCGAAATATAGAGATGATGAGGAATAAGCGTTGCATTGACACCCAAAGCTATTTCCTTGGGCCTCAGTTATCCCATCACAAAAATGTTACTTGTGTTAAATTGAAAGGTCATTGACTGTACAACTGGCTGAGGATTTTCTCCGCTTGGTTGACTGGAATTCTAACATTTTCTTTCCTTTATATAAAAATTTTTAACCCTCTTGCTGTATTTGAACACCGAGTCCCTGAGAATGACAGAATCATCCAGGTGAGAAGGGACCTCAGGAGATCTCTAGTCCAACCTCCTGCTCAGAGCAGGGTCAGTGGTCAGCTCAGACCAGTTCGCTCACAGCTTTATTCAGTCTCTTCTTGAAAATCTCAGAAGATGGAGATGACACAATCTCTAGGCCCCTGCTCCAGCGCTCGACTACTCTGAGAATGAAAACTCTTTTCCTTGGATGCAATCAGTACTTCCCGTTTCAGATGTTTCTCCACCTCTGGCTGTGCGCCTTGGTGAAGGGCCTGGCTCTGCCTTCTTGATGATCTCCCTGTAGGTATCAGAGTTGCTATTAGTTCCCCTGAAGCCATCTCTTCTCCAGCGCTGCTGCCTCAGACTCTCCTCACAGGACAAGAACTTCAGCCCTGACCATCCTGGCAGCTCTCTGCTTCATTTGTTCTGGTTTACCCATGTATGTACCCCATTCTTGCATGTGGTTATCCTACAGAACAACCTATCTGTAGAGGCTTTTATCAGGTTATGGGATGACAGTGGGGCTAAGGGGAGTTTATTCCCCTCATTAACACTCTCACCCTCCCTGGCGGGGCACAAACACCAGGTCCCTCGACAGAGATGCACATGTGTGGTTATGGCACCCTTCTTTCCCTCCCATATCCTACCCTCATTCAGAGCGTGGCTTGATCTACCTTTATGTCTAAAAGGAGATGGCAGACATCAAGGTAATGAATTACAGCCATAACATACACCAAAAAGTATTCTGCATACAGCACATTAAATTAATCTGATGATTTTGCAGGTTGAAAAGTCTGCTGTTGACAGTTCTAAGTTCTGTAGTGCAGGGTAGAGGTACCAGCTCAGGTAATTTAAAAGCATCCCCGGGATGAAATAGAAGACTTCACTGCTACCTGCTACACAACAAAGTCCTTCATCATATGGATAAATCACAAGGATCTGAACTTTAAGGGCTATGTTTCCCTAAATAAGTTTGAATTGGGGGTAACTTCCCATAGCTTGAGAACTGAGCTTTAAGGTCCCTTCTCACCTAAACCATTCTATGACTCTATGAAATAGCAGACAGTAGATGACTTCTCTAGCACACAGGCAGGTGGAAGCAGTGGAGAATACAGATCCCACCTGGTGATAACGCTGTAAAAACCAGTCTTGTACTGACATGTTTCTGTAATATCAGTGAAACACATCTATATATTATTAAAGAGATGCATGCTAAATGACAGTTAATGTTGCAGAAAATTTGTATTCTGTTGTACCATAAACGGTGTCAGCACAAATCAGACAAGACAAGTCAAAAAGAAAGAGGATGCAAATGGAACTGTTAACAGAAATTGAGATGCCTGCACTGTCCTCCTTTTCCTCTGCTACATTTACACTGAACCTGGTGGCCTTTTGCAAAATAATACCCAGCTGGATGATACCTGGGACAATAAAGAATTCTTGTAGTTTTGTAGCATTATTAAGAATGGGAATAAATGTCTGAGACACTGAGAGAGGAATTTTAAGACTGTGCAGGGCTCTAGTTTTAAAATAATGATTCATTTGCATAGTCAGTGGTTGCTTGGTTGCTAATAACAGTTTAAATTTAGAAAGTGTATTGTCTTGCAATGAAAGAAATGTATATAAAGATCTTTCTCTGCAGACTCATGGAATTCTCCTGCTTCATTATTCTGGAAGAAGGAATATAAAATGAGAAATGCTGAAGTTGAAGAGATTACATCAAGCTGACCTCCCCGAGTTTTATTCAAAACAAATCCTTCCTCCCATGAATAATCTTGTTAATAAGAACTGATTTTAGAGACAAAGGGTTTAAAATCCTGAGGTGCAATGTTTTTTCATGGACTTCTAGACTGCAAAGAGTTGTCTCATTGCTTGGAAATGATTTTGGAAGGTATTTCAAATGTAAGGCTGAACAAGGAAGGCTGCATTATATTACCCATGAGTACAGGATTTTGAGGGTGGCCTTACTAAAGCCAGAGTCAGCTCAAGGCTTCTTACCTGATTGGGTAAAAGACTTGTAAAATTCTTTTCTCCTCTTAACAGAGGCAGTCTATCTAAAACATAAACACCATATTTGAAAGCTGAATTAGATTTCTGTGTCAAGGGAATCTTTAATTACTCAGACATGGCCCTCAGGTCTGATAAAGGATATTGAGGATATATCAAGATCAGCAGTTTTTTCTGCATATAGCTCTAAGCAGCCAAGAACAATATTAGACAGTTAACAAACAAACCAACATTTGCTGTATTTGTGGCATTACAAAAAGAGAACACATAATAAAAGCTGGCATTTCTTCCTCAGCTGACAAGTTTTCTTAGGAAATGAACGATTTAACTACATGTATCTTTTTGTAGCACAGGGGCATTCTTCTCTATGCAAATTATTTTGTCTCTTACCATACCCATATGGCAGGTTTTCTACTTCCAGAGTTCTTGAGATTTTATCAGATTCATGTTAGTACCTCTCATCTTGTGGTTCTGTTTTGATAAGAACTTCATCATATCCTTGCTTTGAGGGCTACATTAATTATGTACAAGAATCATCCAGTATTTATGATTGCAGATAGCAGAGAAATCAGAAACTAATCATGATAAAGATTAATTAACTACAGGGTGACCTGGATTGTTTAATAGCTTCGGTTCCTTTGTAATTTTCTTTTAATACGGTCAAATGCTAGGTCATAGTCATAGGTCAATGAGTGTAAGATGTAGGACTGTCATGTTGGAAGTAATAACCCTAAGGAAACCATACATGGTTACAGTGGATAACCAATTAAACATTACACCCTTTTTGAATGATTCATATATCAATCTTCCTCTGTTTTAATTAGGTGGAGTATCAGTTAGAAATTGCAGTGTAATTTACCGCTGTACATTCAGCAATAGTAAAGCTTATATTCAGTGTTCACAATTAAAAAAGAACATTGGAAAAATTTGAAAAGGTTGAAAAAAGATGCATACAAGTGATTAGGAAAGGAATTTAGAAAGCATGAGCTGTATAATCTCTTAAAAGTAAATCAAGATTAATAATCTTGAACTCTGAAAGGAGAAAACTTTTTGTAGTAAAGAGTCTGTTCAAACAGCAGGGAAACTGTAACATTGTGATCTCATGGCAAAAGTATAAGCTAAACAGTGAAACTAAAAATGAGATGCCTGACTTTCAACAGTGACTGTTAGTAATCCCTATTGCACGAACTCATGGCATGAGCCAGAAGTTACAAATTCAGTAGCATTGCAATTCTGTGCCCTGGGCTACATGAGCTAAACAAGATGATTTTAACTAGCTCTTATGACCTAAAATTAACATCTATATTTGAACCTATGATCTTCTGGGGCTTTGAAGAAGTGATCCCTGAACTTCCAGGTTTTCAAGAATTTCCTTCTTTTAGTCAGTGCTATATAAACATCGTTTCCTATATTCCGCATTTGTGACTTCCTCTAAGTGAGTTATTAGAGAACATCGGAGGCCATATAATCCTGAGTTTTAACACCACAAAAACTCAGATAACAAAATCCCCATGAAGACCAGACCTCACATTTCTGACATTCTTTGTACTTTTTTTTTGAAGAAGTCTCTTCTGAACCCTGGACTTTTGACAAACTCATGATAGCCTGGAGACATTTATATTGGGGTTTTTTTTGCACTTAAATACGCGAATACTTGTCCACAAAAAACACTTGTGGCTGTGACGAAACTACACGTCACACCTTCAGTTTCAGAGAAACCGCTCGCTGGTTTCGAGAACTTTACGCAGCGGTCCCAGAGGAAACACAAGTCTCTCAGTGAAGGTCTACACTGAGCCAATACACACAGAGTGACTCACTCTCTGTAGATTAAACGTTTGTAAAGAAATCCCAGAATCCTCTAGGTTGTTTCTCTACCGGCCAAGCAGCTCCACTGCCCTCCGAGAGCGAAAACACCACGCAGTCTGCAAGCAGCTCTGTGCTTACACTTCACTGGAACTATGACCCATGATAAATATAAGAGTGTTATTTAGTGGCAGTCACATACCCCTGCTGAGTCACCTGGAGCAAACAGCAGGGAATGGCACACACCGGGCCGTGACTTCACCCACCTCTCTCAAGCGCGGGCCTTGGGCAGCCCTGAGGTAGCTCAGCCCCTCTGGGGCAACGGCCCCATCGGGAAACCGACCCACGGCTGTCAGGGCGAAAAACGAGCTCTGCTTTGGGTCGGGAAACGTCTTTCCGGGGGATTTTCCCGGCGGGGCAGGGAAACGATGAGAGGAAATTGAAACTAACGGCGACCGACGGCCGCCATAAGCGAGCGGAGGGGCCGGTACCTCAGCCCTCAGCTCTCAAGCTCCGCCCCCTGGCTCGCCAGGCCGTTCTGATTTGCCGCAGCATCTCAGAGCGACGGGAGAGAGAGCCAATCAGAGCGTGAGTTGCCCTGAGGGCGGGAAGGGGGGTGCGGCCGGCCGGGAGGGGCCGAGCGGCCCTGAGGGAAGGAGTTGCCGCCGCCGCCGCCGCTACCCACCGTCACCCGGCGTCCCGGTCCCGCTGTGCTATGGAGGACGTGCTGCCCCCGGGTCTGCTGGAGATCTGCCTGCTGGTCGGCGTGCCCCAGGAGCGGGTGAGAGCGCTCCTCCAGGTGAGAAGGGCTGAGGTGAGGGGAAGGGAGAGCGGTGCCCGGCGGCCCGGTGCCCCGGCTGGTCTGTGGGGGCAGCTTCTGTCAGCGGCCCCGGCCGGGCCTCTCTCCCCCTACACGGGCTGGAGTGAAACTCTGGGGTTGACTTGTGGCTGTTATCATCGGATAGAGCTGAAATACTGAAGAGAAAACTTGTTTTGACAGGAGGTCATCAACCAAGCAGGGATAATTTGGTAGCAGCCGTAAGTAATGCCATTTTTTCAAAGCTCTGAGCTTAGGTGAAGAATGCGGTGTAGCTGTATATAAGCAGGAATAGCAAAATGGTTGAACAATGCAGATCCTTTACTTGGTGATATCCCATTTCCTGTCTTCCGTTGGAGAGAAGAGCAAAAAGTAGGGGAATAAAACTTGTTAACTCGTATCCTTGGCTCGAAATCCCTGCATTGAGATTAAGTTTAGTGCCTTGTATTTGGCACAGCCAGAGTGGTTCAGATGCGGCAGAAGTCGGTGGGTTGGTTTCGGCTGTGAATGTGTGGTTTATAATTTGTTTATGACTGCAGCCACTTCACACGTGAGTTAACAGTTAAAATCCTCTTCCTGATTTCTCTTCATTAAAACGTGCTTTTGTTAAAGATACCTGTGTGGGAGCAGCTGCGGTGCCAGCACGTGCCGAAAAGCCAAGCTGCTCCCAGGGATCTCCGTTGTCTTGCTTGAACTTGAATTTGATTGTGCCCTCTAATAGCATTAGATAAAGAAGTCTTTGTTAAACTTGTTGCCGCTCACTCGCTCAGGAGACGGCTTTTGCTGATGTCAGCTTCTTGAAGTGAGACTGGCTAAGGAGGGGTTCAAATTCCAGGATCTTGTTCGTGTATACATTCAAACTAAGGAAATAATAGTGCCATAAATGTCACCGCCGGACTTTAGCGATCGGTGCGTATGTGTTGTTTCAGCGTCTGCGTGAGAAGTGAGCCCCAAAGATGTGGAATTTCTTTTTCGTTTTGATCCACTCACTTTGATCTCATTGCTTCCAAAAGACCTGTAGAACAGCAGATAGGAAATTGACTACAGAAGATAGAAACCATTTCAATATTCTGCTCGCGCTACAGTTTTTGAATTGTTTCTTTGCTCAGGGTATAAAATGGAGTGTTGGAAAGTAGTTTCTGTGCTTGTCAATATTAATGATAGTAATGTCCCTGCAAGCTGTTAACACCACAGGGATTTCAGTCACTGTCATAGGGCAAGTTTATAGATTTACTCCGTTTCCTTTTCCTCCTGCAGCACTATCTACGTTAGGAAATGGTGGAATATGTTTTGTGTCTAATTTCAGGTAGTGTAGAAAGAAGAGTCCTTATTGACAGAAAATAAGAACACTTAAATGGAAAATAGTGGACCTCTGATGATATTTACAGACGAAACAGCAGGGTAAAAATCTTCATAGCACATCAAATCTTGGTCTTGAAAGAGTGTTTGTGCATTCTTAACTTTATTGCAATACGGAGTAATAAAGTCAATGAAGTCTCATGAGGAAAGACAGGCTGAGAGAGCTGGGGTTGTTCAGCCTGAAAAAGAGAAGGCTCCAGGGAGACCTTAGAGCAGCCTTCCAGTATCTGAAGGGAGCCTACAGGAGAGCTGGAGAGGGACTCTTTGTCAGGAAGCATAGTGACAGAACAAGGGGTAATGGTTTTAAACTAAAAGAGGGGAGATTTAGATTAGATATCAGGAAGACATTTTTCACTCTGAGGGTGGTGAGACACTGCCCCAGGTTGTCCAGAGAAGCTGTGGCTGCCCCATCCCTGGAGATGTTCAAGACCAGGGTGGACGGGGCTTTGAGCAACCTGGTCTGGTGGGAGGTGTCCCTGCCCAGGGCAGAGGGGCTGGAACTGGATGATCTTTAAGGTCTCTTCCAACTCTAACCATTCTATGATTCTGGGAAGTCAGAAGGAACCTGCTGCCAAAGTAAGAAAAGCCTTATATGACTGATATGTTGTCAATGTGGGTTCCAGGAAAAAAGTTACAGTTTTGCACTGAAGCTCATGTAACTGAAGTTTCTGGGCTTTCATCCATCAATTGTCCTTTTGGCAATTGTCTTTGTCACTAAGATTTCAATTTGAAGAGATCAGAGGCTGCTATTTTCAGCTGGAGATTACTTTTTTAGTGTTGGAAGTTTGTATTTTGTAAGAATGACGTGTGCGATAGTGAAGATCCTACAACCATCTTTGATAAGACTTCTTTCCCCGAAGTTATCTTTAAAGCTGGGGTTTGATATGGCAAGTGTGGTTTCTGAGATGTCTCAGATCTTCCTGTTGGGTTCTGTGTCTACTTATCACCATCAGTGGTACAGGTCTTATCTCTTACAGCGTCTGCATCATCCTTTCTGGCCTTACTAATGCAGACATAACCACCAAACCAATTTTTTCCTCCTTCTGTAACGCACCCCTGAGCGTCCAGTTTTGTGAAAGAAATGGGGTGTAATCAAGTCAGGAGCGTGTGCTTGGGGCAATGAAAATTAACTGTGGCCTGCATCATCAGGACTGTAGCTGACAGGTGAAAGGAAGGGATTATTACTATTACTGTTTTTATTTAACACTCCTGGGGTCACATCTGGAATACTGTCCCACATTTGGATACTGGAGAACTGCTGACAAACAGGAGCGAGCCCAGAAGAAGACAAGCTTTACAAGGGCTGTATCACAAGGGGGAAAGAAGCCCCTTCCCAAGTGATTTCTGAACCTTGACTGGATGAGACTCAGAGCAACCTGATCTACCTTCAAAGTTATCATTGCCTTGAGCAAAGGGTTGCACTAGAACCTCCAGAAGTCTCTTCCAGCCTAGTTTTATTAAGGGTTCATACTTTTCCCTGCCCAATTATTCCTTGAAGAAGCCAGTTCTTCCGTGACATTCAAAATGAAATCAACTTCTTCAGTGATGGGAAGAGGAGAGTGAGATCAAGGAAACACCAAATAGCTGAGATCACACTCCAGTCTGTGGTTTCAACACACTACTTCTTGTTTGTGTCTAAAACAGCGTAGTCACTGTAAAAAGTCTCTCTTACCGGTGTCCTGTACGGCACCGTTGTTACAGGAACATAATCAGTAAATGGGGATGGAATAAAATCCCTGACTTCTGGAATCTTGCAGAATTACAGGAAAGAAAAGGCATTGAAGTTTCCAAGAAGCTACGTATGATGCAAGGACATTTGATAGTAAGAAGTGACAGAAGAGAAGCGTTTCAAAATGAAGAAGTAACAGTAGAAGCAGAGAATAGAAAATGTTCAAAGAATAGTAGAAACAAATGAATGTTGTTCTGTGGCTGCCTATTCACTGTCCCTGAGCTGAAAGGGTAAGAAAATACGACTTTGGCTGTAGACATTAATATGAGCTGACTCGAATGCTGACAACTGAGTCACTGGGTCAGCGACGGTGCTGACAGTGCTGTTCAGTGGAGGAGGGGAAAAAAAAAAAAAAAAGGCGTTTAATGCCTGTCTTGTAGTTCAAGACATCGAGGACCTGCCATTTCAGAGGCTGTTACACTGGGAGGCTATTAAATCCCTGGCTGTCATCCAGCACTTTGTAGCACAGAGATGCCTTCAATGTAAGTCAGGGATTGCCCTGTCAAAGCGACTTTGTACCAAGACCTCTGCAGGGCAAACCTGCCAAGTTTAAGATTGCTACTGTTTTGAGTAGCTCTGTGTTTTTCTTGCATAACAGCCTCAGGGCTGAGCCTTAATTCTTAATTTCCTTCTGAAATGTTTAGCTGCATGTTATATTGAGAGTGATTATGTTGGATTTATCTGCATTTCCAGTTTCTTCACTTGAAATTCATGTCAGGTGCCAGCTAAAGAAAATGACACGTGAAGTTTTTAGCGTGGCAGGATATGGCACTCAGTACCCCAATTTGTAACGTGCTTTTTAAAGTCATTGCTATCTTTTCAATGTCCCAGTGGATACTTATCTTTTTATCTTTTCCACTCTGATTTCTTTCAAGTTCAGACTCTGTGTGTTCATTAAAAGAGTGTTTTTCTACTTATTTTCATTGAAATACTTTCTTTCAAGTATCCTATTACAGAATACGGTGGAGCTTAAGATACAGTAACTAATACATCATGAAGGTAAATATTCCTTCTCATTTTTTCCTGTGATGCTCAAATCTGAAGAAAACTACTGGTGGACTCATCTACTAGGACAGATAAGCTGAGACTTTCTCTTCCAAAACACGGACAGTGGAAAATTGCTTCTGTGAAGCAATGGAGCTTTTTATGTTGTAGGGAAATGATGAGAGAGGCCATCGTTGCTTTATCTGTCTTTGAATCAGTTAGCAAAAAGTTGAAAAGAAAGCAGCTTTTTAGCCACAATGAGACTCGCCTTTCCTGTTTCCAAATATCCTTTGACTAAACAAAGCTTTTACTTGCTGGTTTGACCTTGCAGGAAGATATTAAAACAGCAGTGAAGTAATTGAAAATGCAGGTACTTGTCTCTCCTCTATGGTCAAAAATACGAAAAGTGCTTCCAAGTACAAGGAAATCTCCTCATCTTATCACTTCCTCCACAGGTTTTTCATAACAAGGCAGCAAGGGCTTTCAGTGTAGTGGTACTTCACAAAGCTGCCTTCTAGAAAAGTGTTGTAATTTTATGCACTCTTGGGATGCCTGTTCCATTTAGTCATCAGCATATGGAGAAATTTTCATGGCTTCATGTTGTACAGTGTCTTAAAATTGTGTTTATTGTAACAGTGATTGTTGGTTTTAATTGTACTTTCTTAACTGCCTTATAAAGTTAAAAGTTGTCTTGTAAAAGCTTGTGTGATTTTTTTTTCTTTGTTTTTGTTTTTTTCCCTGTAGAGATTATTCTGAGCTAAAATGTAGCTTTTCCTAAAGCTGAACAAAGGCTTATCAAGGGAGCTCAGCTGTTTTTGTTTTCATTTATTTGTTGCCTGGTTTCTCTTACTAAAGGTGTTTATTTACTTAAAGCTTAAGTATATCCTAACACTTCAAAGGAGGAAATGTTGTATTTGATATTGTTAGTTTTCTTATGCCAAAGGCATAATATTGCTATGATGTATTTTGAATGATGAAGAATGATTCTTTGCCTTCTGAAAATGCCCAGAGCATTCCCCGTGCATTCACATATGTAAAGCAAGAAATTAGAAGGAAAAATTAGTTCTTTAGGAAGAAGAAAAAATGTTTAGACCCACAGTTTTAGGGATAAAGAGAAAACAGGGATGGTTTAAAAAAACTATCAGGATGAGTGTCAACTTAGTGGTTGTTCATATTTTTTTGTTTTGTTTTCTTTTTATAGGGTACTCAAAGAAAACCCAAATACCTTCCTCCCCTTGATCCAGAAGTTCTTTCTGTATTTGTGCCTCCGTTTATCAGCAGAGATGATACTCAGGTGATTAATGCTGGTAATAACTTGAATAAAAGTAAACGCCGGTCTTTCCGAAAGAAAAAAGAGAGACCAAAGATTGAAAATGTCAAGAGTCTCAACGGGGAGCAGAAAGCACCGGACACTGAAGATATTACAGTTCCAAAGGACATTGATCTTATCGGTTTGCCACAGCTCTGCTTCCCAGGTATGATAGGGTTCACAATTCTTAATGAGAATTGTTTTCAGATGTATTTGTTGACTCATAGTGCAGCCAGTTTTTTTATTGTTATCATCTTCCCTATCTGTTTGCATTTCCCAGTATAAAAAAATGTGTCTGGTTGTGAGCAGGTCTGTGATGAAAGCACCTGATGGGGTGCTCTGTTCGGCTCTGTTGTGTGAAACAGATCTATTAGCTCCAGTAGCTGCAACACCTGCAAGAGAGGGAAGCTGCAAGTCACTTTAGCTCTTATTGGTAAATCTTGGTTTGAGTGAAGTACACACCTGTGCATAGTTTTAAAATTACCTTCAAATGACTGAGTACTCTTTCAGTTTTCAGTTGGTATTAAGATATATCTGAAGTAGTCACTGTTTCCTCCAGGTTTAATTGCAGCAATTTTAATATGCATGTCACTGTTGCAGGCCTTGTAAATATCTTGAAGGCAAAAAAATGAACAAAACCCATTTATGGTATTTTGACACTTAAAATGCAGTATAATTATATAATATTTTTTCTGCAGTAGTGCGCAACTTAGAGCCTTTATAATAATCCTTATATCAAATGGACTGTGTATGTGCATTTTAATCCCTTAAAATGAGACATTTGTCTTGAAATTAAGTGGAAGTGTGCAGTATTTGTCATTAATCTATTTTCAAGCAGCTGTGGTTAAAAAAAAAAGGTTTCTGCCTTCATTTCAGGAGGACTTTATGTAACCTCTGAATCCAAAGACGACCACATTCATTTCCTGGTCTTCACAGATGTCTGTGGTAACAGAACATACGGGGTTGTTGCACAATACTACCAGCCTATGCAAGTATGTTATTTCATTCATTGGTTATGTTAAGACATATCAAAAGATATGAAATGAACTGAAACAGTTTGAGAATCATGTCAGGTTTAATTTTTAAAATTACTGAATGGATATGTTTTAATGTTAGTAGGAATCCAGAACAAATCATACTTTATATTGCTGTTTTAAATTAATTACGTTGGAACAGCATTGCGTTAAGATAAACTGTTATGGATTTCAATTAGGAGTCTGGAATATTTAGGAGCAGTCTTTGTCCCTTGGACATCTTTTTGGGGTGAAGATTGTGTCCTGTGTTCTTTCTAAATATATTTGTGCTGAAATTATTTTTGATACGTATGTCTGAGTCTTGTTGGCTGACATTTTTCTGAAGAGCTTAAAGGAGATCAATAACCAAATCCCGTTGAAATTTAGAGGGAACTGGGTATCGTATCTCTAGGGTTCTCAAGAAAATATCAGCCATAAATTCCTGATTAACATAAACACATTAATCTATAGTTTTCTTGCAGGATGGCTCTATTTCCTCGAATGGGCAGGCCCACTGGGAATCTGCGCAGAGTGGGAAGATGCCTGCCTGTTTTGTACCATTAGCTATTTGTGTTATATCCAGATATCCATATTTTAATGCCCTCAAGGATTGTCTCTCTTGGTAAGACTTGCTATCCTCTTTGTTTCTTCTGGAAATAACTGTGCAGGTTTTAATACATGAATTTGCATGATGTGATCAGGATAGCTGCATAATGCTAAAACAGGCATTAATTTTAAGTTATTTAGTGTGAGATGCGTGGGAGAGGGGAAGAAGAAATACAATGTGAATGTTACCCAGACAATAAGTGCAAGTTCTGAATATCAAGGAAATTAGTTACAATGTTGTCTTCATTTTCTTTGAGGTGTTTCATAAGTCTAGAAAATACTAATTTGCAGGGAACAGATTTCCCAAAGAGTTGGGGTTTTTTTGGGAGAGGGTTAACTAGAGTTTTGCTATGCCGGCGAAAAGTCACTTTGAAAGCACAAAAACCTCTTTATAATGCACCAAATAAATATCGTAAGAACATGAATATATGTATTAATAAGTAGTTAATGACACTTTATTATTTAACTAAATAATCTAAGCGAGTTGAGGGAGTACTTGGCTGTCGTAGAACTAGGAGAGAATATTTTTGGATACAGAGTACTTCACTGGTTAGAAATACTCAAATACTTTGCAGTGTAGATGAGTTAAAAGATAAGTGAACATGGGCTATTTCACTTATTTTGAGGTTGCGTGTTGCTTTACTGTTAAATTGTTAAAATCTATGTGCTTCTGTTCTGATGTGGATTAAAAACTCCTTGCATCAGGAAGCCTGTCTCTGTACATTGGACATTACTGACTAATCTAATTCTAGAGTCAGATTTGCAGTCAGTTGTTTTCCTTTTGCAGGCATTTGCTTCTTATACTTAAGTTGCAAGATGTTAGGGTTTTAGGTTGGAGCTTCCAGTTTGTCCTGCTGGTGATTGGTGAGCTGAGCAGATGAACAAACAAGCACGGGTGAGCTTCTTGGCTACTAGCTGGGGTGTGTCACTAGCCCCTGACCTAACTCCATACCAGGGTGAGACCTGAGCACTCATTTCCCTACCCCGTGCACCTCTTCTTCCCACTGCTGTGGGCTTGGATCCGGTTGGAGCACTGACTGGTTTCCCTGGTTTAGATGAAGAGAGCCCTGGAGGGACAAAGCAGTGCCTTCCTCCTGGGCAGTTCAGATGTTGCCTCCAAAAAAAAAAGCTGTGATACCAGAAATGATTCACTCTGGGAGCCCTTAAGAACGAGTGAAGACTCTCTCTGTCATTTTTAAAACATTCATTAAGGCGTTTAATGTGGACAAGGGACTTCAACATGATGGAAACCAAGTACTCACAGGTTAGTGGGAAATGGAGACCATAGTAAAATAAAAAGGGAATGTTTTGTTTCCCTCTCTCCTTCCCTGCCCAGATCACTTTTTCCATTCCTTATATTTAAGTCAATTACATCAGCCGTTGGTATTGCAGGAGCTGATTCATTGCTGCCTTTTCCTAGTTTCAAATCTCAAGTAAGCACTAATCTGCATATATAACTCTTACAGCTCTCTACCTGAGCTGTGGTGCTCCACTATTTATATTCAGCCTTTATAACAGGATTCATGATACTTTTATACTTTTATACACGCTAGCTTTCCACTAGATAGGAAAGAGTATAGATTCAGCTTTTCATTTATAGGGTTCATCAGTGGTTTATATAGTATAGTCATAAATGAGTAATTTCTTCTCTAAAGTGAGACATCTCTGAGCTGGGAGAAGCAGTCAAATTGTGAGGGGATTTTTGAACAGTCCACTAGGGAGAAGTGGGAAAATGTTCAGGAAAACCATGGAAAAGTCCAGAGTTCAATAGGACAACAGCCTTCCACGCTGGTACTGTGTGTTGTCCTGGTCATTTAACAGGGGAATTTGTCATCCAGTTGCACAGCTTTTCTCTCTCCATTTTGTTTCTGCTTCTGGAGTAAGATGCAAGTGTGTGCAACTGGCAGGAGAGGGGGAAAACAAGTGACAAAGCTGCATTTGGGGCTGGCCTTTCCCACTGTAATGGAAACTCAACTGATTAAGTTTCCATTATATTTTCTTCTGAATTTTTTTTCTTTAGAAATCTGTTAATCACCAAGTATTTTCCTTGATGCTATTTGATAGATAATTTCAGAATGTCTGCCCTTCCTTTTTTGGTTTTGTTTTTTTTTTTTAGGAAAGGCATTTTACTGTGCCAGAGTATACTTGAGTGGGAGGAAAGGAAGGGGTGGAGAGGTACTATTTTTCCTTATTTTGGTTGTGTTACTGAACTTTTTCCGTACGGCACGATACAGCTGTTCTGAATGGAATATAAGCAATTACAGTAAAGAACCTCAATGATATATTTTGAGCGTAGCATCCTGTACAGCTGGAGATGTTTCAGTTTTTTGTAACCTTACAAAACATTGTCATTGTTTTCCTATAAACCAGAAAGGGAGTTACTGTCATTTTGGATACCTTACCTGTAATCAGCTGGCAATGGGTTAAAAATCTAATTAAATGTTTTCGTTGACTGAGTCTACTGGAGTAGCAGTGCCTCTTATACTTAACAAATAATAACACGTTCAACAGCACACTTGTCTCCTTGGTATGCTTCAGTGGTGTTTTGCAGGATGCTTCAACTGATTAATCATTCTGCAAGCCCAGGGATTTGAAAACACTTGCTGGTGGACCTCAAACCACCTACTTCTAGTGTGTAGCCCTTTCCTTGTGAGAACCAATGGAAAAATGCTATTTATTATTGCTAATGAAAGCTGGATGTTGAAGTAGCATCTAAAGGGGTTCTGCTTCCATTCAGGACCTTCTTGCAGCAGCAGATTTCAATTTCCTCCAGAATTCTGCTGTGCATAGCTTAGTTTCTCCAGGACCTGCAGTGCACAGGATTGCTTATAGGTGGGATGGTACTTGTTTTCATTCAGAACACTCCTCAAAGCTATTTCATTGTCATAAGCATTCCCAGATAAACCCTGTGTTCCGAAGCTTTTCCAAGTGGCAGAGTATAGTAAAAATCAGAACTGAAAACTGAGATATAAAGGTAACATCAAGCTATAAATCCATGTAGGTGCTTTGAACTGCAAGGGTAACTTGAAAACTTTCATCACAGTAATGAAGGGCTTCATTTTAATTAATTTTATAACTAATTCACATATTACTAGCAAACAATGCTTCCAAATCTGGAACAATTTGAATGGAGTGTGTCTGCCTCTCCCCAGAGAAAGCAGATGTGCATCTAGACCTTTCTACAATGCTGTGGCTGTTGGATTATTCTACATCATTATTTGAAAATGCTCAAGTTTTAAATTGAGAGGTTTTGGCACTTTGCAACAGGTAGTTTTACCTCAATCTGTTACACTACATGAAAAGTGAAATATTCCTGGCAGTAATCTCCTTCTGGATGAACTCCTGTCTTGGATGGGTGAATGGGTTCCTTTCAAACCGTAAATCTTCCAACCTGTGTATGAGTCCTTTCAGCTGCTTTGAGAAAAGGTGGAAGCCTGCAAATAGCTCCCAGCAGCGAGGCAATACAAAGGGCCTATTCTTAGATATTCTTGCTTTCTGAAACATCTGTCTGTGGACAGTTAATAGAGGTAATGGAAGGTTCATAAACTCCTTAGCTCTCTGCTTTAACGTTTCAGAGATGACTTCATTTATTTCAGGAGACGTTTGGAGTGCCGAGCTGTCAGCTGCTATTACATGGCATTAATGGGCACAGTCTGCTGATTAGGGAGCTCTTACTGTCCTTTCTGTGCATCTGCTGCTTTTTCAGCATCAGGCTCTGGTTGTTTCTCTTGTAACATTTACTGGATGTTGTTGATACTTGCTTTTTGTCTCAAAAAAATATATTAAATAGCAGGTCTACCTATGCTGTTAGGCCACATCTAAGGTGTTACTAAGTGCGAACAGCATATTTGTTTAAAATGCTGACTGTACTGTCTGGTTTTCTTTGATAATTCTTAAATTCCCCTCCCTCTGCCCTCTCTGCACCCCTGAACAGCTGATGGTCTTTATGGGGATACATGTCTAGTACTCAGTCCACAGCAATTTCCAAATGGAAATTTAGTGAACTTAAATGTCTCATTAATGCAAATAAAGCTCAGTAATACATGTCAGAATATTTTTATTCTGGAATCCAAATGCTATACACAAATATGATGTCCTGGACTCTTAATATATCTCTTGAACTACTCAGGGCTTTCTAGACCACTTTCTGAAGAGTGAGTGTTCTTCTGCAGGAAACCAGTAAAACCCTCAAAAGAGAATAGAACCACATAAAGTTCCTAGTTTCTGTATATATAGATTTGCAGGCTTAAATTTCTGATTTTGTAAAGGTTTAGGCTTGTTTTGGTTTTTTTTTTTGCCTTTTTTTTTTTTTTTATAAACATGCATATGAATCTTGTACTGAACAAAATACCCTTTTGGCTAGAAATACCTAACTTCTTAATTGTTCAACTTTAGAAATGCTGTTGGATTTAACGCTTTGCAATCTTAATAGCATGTATGTTTAAATGTTCATTAAGTGATCTGGCGTATTATATAAACTGCATGACCTTTGTGGCTTTGACGCGGATAAGGGGATATAGATCTAAAATAGAAACATTTGATAGATTTGCACAACTGTATTTGTTCTTTGTTTGGGTAGAAACAATAGCAAAGAGTTCATGCAGGCCTGGGCCTTACCCCAGATGTGGCTTTTGCTTCACATTCCTCTGCAGTTAAGCCCAACCAACTCTCTTTTCCTCTGATTTCCATCCCAGGGCTGATGTCTGATGCCTGGGGTGGGAGAAACACCGTGGCACCACGTTGCAGCTGTGGGTGTTTCGTTCCTCAAGCAATCTCTATAAGACACTTCCTTTAGCTGTGTCTCACCTATAGGTTTTCTTTGCCATTGTGACACCCAGTGTGCCCTCTGCATCCTCTGATATATACCATGCAGTAGTATGTTATGTGAAAAAACCTGCTTCTGACACAGCAGCATCTTTAAAATTAAAGAACACCTAAAGTATCTAATAAATTAGAAATTAATTATCTGGAATAATAGCTTCATTGCTCTTAATATTTTTTTAATAGTTCTAAGCTATCAGCAAAATGGCTTTTTTTTTCTGTTTGCATGTTACTATTTATAAGTAATTTTCTGTAATTTAATTTCAGCTTACTAGTACAGCTGCGACCTTTCAAGGATTTAGATGTTGAGGAGCACGTAAAAGAATTTGCAGCAAAATTATTTTTAATACCCAGCCCGCCACCAGGACCACTCCACTTGGTAATTACTGATGCTGAATTTCATAATTACTTTAACATTATGTTTTATAAAGCACTAAGATGTTGATTTCTATAAACTGGGGGAAATTCTTCACTGTCACATCAGAGACTTTACTTGCTGATCTAAAACTGATGTCAATACCTGTGCTTTGAAAATAAGGTTATGTGTTATTAGGATATGAAATAATGGTGTGACCAGGGTGCAGGCTTGAGCACTGGCATACCAATTTTTAATACTCTTCCAGGAACTACTTGGCTCATGCCAACTATTTACAGTTTGAGATGATGCCTGAGTAGGTCTGGGGACAGCATGATGTGGGTTTTGGTTTCTCAGGGGGCAGCCCACATAATCTCTCCTAGAAGTGGCTGGAAGCTCCAGTCTGTAACTGCTCTATAAGAATGGAAGCTTAACTTTCACCTGAACAGTATGCCATTGCCATCTCCTTGAATATACATGTATAAACTCCAGTAAATCATGTTAACTATCCCTCAGCCAAAGTGTGGGAGCTCCCTATCTTGTGTCTGATACAGAGACAGGCTGCCTGATGTGGGTGCTCATGGCTGTCATCTTGGTTGAGTGATGGAGCAGGTCCAGAGGAGGCCAGGAAGATGATCAGAGTGGTGGAGCACCTCTGCTATGAGGACAGGCTGAGAGAGTTGGGGTTGTTCAGCCTGGAGAAGAGAAGGCTCCAGGGAAACCTTATATCCCCTTCTTGTATCTGAAGGGGCCCTACAGGAAAGATGGAGGGGGACTCTTTCTCAGGGAGTATAGAGATAGAATGAGGGGTAATGATTTTAAACTGAAAGAGGGGAGATTTAGATTAGATATCAGAAAGAAATTTTTCACTCTGAGGGTGGTGAGACACTGGCCCAGGTTGCCCAGAGAAGCTGTGGCTGCCACATCCCTGGAGGAATTCAGGGCCAGGCTGGATGGGGCTTTGAGCAACCTGGTCTGGTGGGAGGTGTCCCTGCCCAGGGCAGTGGGGTTGGAACCAGGTGATCCTTAAGGTCCTTTCCAACCCAAACCATTCTATGATTTTTCATTATTTGATTCTACTCAAAGTTAAGGAAAATAAACTTCCAAGTTCTTTGTAAATAAAGAGCGTGGAAAGAAAGAAATAGCCAGCTCTGCTACCGGTTTCACAGGGAAGAAAACCTGATATTTAAGTTAATATATGATCCTGACAGTCATAATGTTTTATGGCATGATGTAATTGCTTGGACTAAGTCCATGGGCAGGTGCAGTTTGTAGTGTGACTGTCAGCTTATTCCCGTTTCCTTATAATCCTCTATAGCTTCAGAAAGCCCCAGCAACACAAAAAAACCCCCCAACCTTTAAAGTTCCTGTCATGTGATTTACACTCGTGTGATTCTCTGGGTGGTCACACAGGGGTGTGACTGAGAAGTAGTGCACTGGCCAAAGAAATCAGTTGCTGGAACAACACTGAGAGCTCTGGACTTGTTTTATTTTTATTATTTGTGTCTGAATGACTCTGGAAGAGCAGAACAGTGTGTAGCAGATGAAATGTTCTGGATTAGCTGCTGCCTGCATTTGTACTCGGTGTAGAAGCTGAGATGTAGGGGCTGTGTTTTCTTCTTTAGAACCTTTCCCAAGTCAAGATAGATGTCAGCTAAGTCAGTGATTTCAGCACAGAAATGGCTTCTAGGGAAGCAGTGCTTCAGCTGTGGACTTCTCCTTAGCTGCTTTCCTTGACCCTGGGACGAGGGGTTAGGAGAAGAGTCAAAAATAGCATCGCTGGGAAATTGGCTGAATGGTTGGCTGAGCCAGCTGCAAAGTGCTGAAATATGGAGCACGTGCAGGATCTGGCCCCCGGAGTATTTGAACTGGAGTATTTGAAACACTGAAAGAGCTCGTTCATTTTGGCTTGATCTGTCTTTTTAACATGAGCACCTGTGCTCAGTTATTTTGTTCATTGTTTTTTCTATTTCCTGTATTAATTTTATCGATACTTTGGATTTCTCAGTTGTATCTACAAATATAAATTCCATTATTTTATTACGCTTATAGCAAAGCAAGTTTAATTCTGTTAAAAGAATATTTATATATATTTTAAAGTTTTATTGTCTAAACAACGTATGAGAATGAAAGGAGACAAAGTCCATGTTAGTTTTTCAAACTAGTTACGTCTTTTAATATTTCCCTCTCTTTCTATTTCAGTTTTCTGCAGTTTGCAAATATCTGTCTTCTTACTCTCAATTAATGTTAATATGTTGTAGTTGGAACTACAATCCTGAATTAAATGTGTTGTGGAAACATTTTCATTAGGAAGTAAATGGAAAACATCTGTTATTACAGGTATTTAATATGAAACCACTTCAAATAATAATTCCTTCACGAGAGGATCCGGACAGTCCAATTATTGACTTGGATCTTCATCTTCCGTTGTTGTGTTTCAAGCCAAAGCAGGTGCTGCAGGTAAAACTAATTGATACTTTAAAAATGTATTGGAGATTGTCAGTACTGGTAATTTGTGATTTAGAAAAATCAAGATGTTTAGTCACCACAAAACCATTATATAAGCCCAGGAATTCAGAATAGCGTTAGTTTGCGCATTAGAGATATGGCGCAATAAAAGACACTTTCTAGTAAGATGTTCTGTTATTCATAGGTCAGATTAGATTAAGGCATATTGGATTTATTTCACCTGTGATTTAGCAATAGATGCTAAATTTCTTAAGCATATAATTTAAAATATAAATGCCCAAGCTGATTGACAGATTTTGTATTGAATCCTTGTTAATTACTACATGCATTTCTACAAGGTAAGAAAGGGACCTGCAGGCTGGATGGGTAGCAGATGGCGCTCTAATATAAATGAAGTGTAAATGGTGTAGAAAGACAAGAAAATACAAAAAGCTATTTGCAAAGAATTTTTTTTCAATGTCTCATAGAAATAATTTTGGTTTGGAGCATCCTTTCTAGGTTTTCTGATCCAGCTCCCTGCTCCGAGGCCACTTGTGCAGTTAAATTACGTTGTTCAAGGTCATTGGTATTATTGGTTCCACGTTCTCTAAAAAGAGCAGATTAGAGGCTCTTTCCAGGGCTGCTTGTAAACCTCCTCAGTCCTGAAAGCAGACAATACTGGCTTATTTTTTTTGGATGTAGCCATTCTTCCACCCATGTGGGCTTCTGCCCACATGTACGTGTTATGAATAAAGCGATCTCAAATTCTAAATGGTCCTCTGCAACTGGGACATCTGGAGAATGGAGCTTTATGTGCTAAGATGTCCCACTTATGGCATTAGGCTTGAATTCATCCCACCTAAGGTCGAGGTGCTGAGGTTGGTGCTTAGCTGCTATTGGGTCCCTCTCTGCCATCAGTGGGAAAGGGTGGACATCTCCAGTTAGCTTCCTGGATTGCTCTGGGAAGTCACTGCTCTCCAGTGGCACTGAGAGGAATGTGACTAGCTAGAGTCTAGAAGTTCAGCTGAGATGTCTAAAACCTAGAGAGTCTTTGTGTTCATCATCAAAGACAGTTTTGCTTATATGTGGGTATTTTTAACAGGCATTGTACAGTCTAATACCTTTAAAGAAAGGTGACGGGTCTCAGTAATTTACCTAAATCCTAGCCTCGTTGACGCTGGTGGCAAAACTCTCATTGATTTCTGCTGTCACTTTAATTGTCCCTGCTTCTGTGTTTTCTTCTCTTCTTAGTTTTGTAAGAGTCCTTATGTGGACCATTATATCAGTTTGTAAATACATAAAGTGGCTTTTAGAAAAAAGAACTTGGGAGGCTGAGTTTTGCAAGCAGATAAAATATTTGTGCGTATCTAGTATGTTCTGGATATAACTCTTCATAAACATTCAACATTTGGGTTTTTTTTTTTTTTTTCCAGATTATGACCTGTATCTTGACTGAGCAGAGAATAGTTTTCTTCTCTTCTGATTGGGCTCGGCTGACGCTCGTTGCTGAATGCTTTATGTTGTACCTTCATCCTCTTCAGTGGCAACACACTTTTGTGCCCATTCTCTCTCGGCATATGCTGGATTTTGTCATGGCCCCGACATCTTTTCTTATGGGATGTCATGTTGATCATTTTGAAGTAGTTAGCATGGTATGTTTTAGACTATTTTACCTTTTTCTGTTCACTTTTAGTGCGCTTGTCCCCTTAATTCTTTCAGATGCCCCATCCCTGGAGGGGTTCAAGGCCAGGCTGGATGGGGCTTTGAGCAACCTGGTCTGGTGGGAGGTGTCCCTGCCCAGGGCAGGGGGTTGGAACTGGATGATCTTTAAGGTCCCTTCCAACTCTAACCACTCCCTGATTCCATGCATCTAGAAAGTTGCTTTTGTTATTTAGGTGTGTGAGAAGTGAAGAAATGAAAAGTGATGGAACCATATTGATGTGACCCCTGGCTTATTGGAAAAATCTTGTTGTATCCCTTACCTTTCTCTTCTTTGCAGGATAATATTCTGATTTTTGTGAGTTCATGTTTCATTTGGGGAAAAACTCTACTTACGTGTCATTTGTATAGTACAAATAGTTTCCCTTCAGACTGGTGAGATTCTATTTTGCTCAGAGTTTTGTGAGATAAAATAGGTGCCTTTTCCAGGCAGCTGGGTTAAGATTGAGCATGTGCTTGAAAAAAAAAACCTGTAATGATGCTGCTGTTCCCCATGGTGGAGTTACATATTTAATAAAATAAGAAAGAAAATGTAAAGAACATGATCTCACAATTTTGCTAAGATTTTTTGGGTCTTTTTTTCAGTATCTTACTTAGCGAAGCCTCTTTTTTTGGTTGCCTAAAAAGATTCAAGAAAAACTCAGCTTCTAGGGCAGGGCTAATGTGAATATACTTTTTTGAGGGTGTCGCATAGTTTTTCTTTGAGTCTTTGAAACCAAACGCAGAGAAATTGTGTAAATTTATATCAGATTAATCCATCTGATTATAAGACAAAGTGAAGCGGTTCTGGTCAAGTCCAAAATGAGCAAAGAATTAAGTTAAGATGAAATAGATAATTTTAAATTTTTTTTGTTAGCAGTAAGATGATGTCACTATCAGAAACAACTACAGATTAGAAAACACACTTTGATATAATTTGAAAGATTTTATCTTTGTTTATGTATACTGTGTTACAATCTAATCTTAAAGGTTATTAAAATTGCAAACTCAGGGATCAGCAAGGGCTTTACCTCCGGGTGATTTTTTTTTTTGTCCGTTAGCACGTGTTTGAGACTCTCAATATATAAACACTCCCTCTCCCAGGCACCCCACAGGGTAAGTACAGGATTAGGTGCTGCAAATGAGCTTTTAGGGAGCTTCTTTGAGTACATATATATGGTTTTGTATGTATCTTCATGTGTGTACCTTTTTGAGGATAAGCTTAGAGATCCAGTATTAATTTAATACTGTATGAAGAGCATATTAGGTTACCAAATGTTTGTGTACAGAGATGAATATCTATCAATTTAATGACATCTGTTTTTCTTGAAATTAATTGTTTAGTTATCTGTATGATCTTCTAGTTGGGAGGGAAAAAAGTCAATAATTTTTTGCTTTATCTTCTTGGTGAAATAATTAATTGCCTGAGAACTATATAACGAAGTCAAAAATGGTTTTACAGTATATTTGCAGTCATTCTATTTTCTTTTGTTAAAAGGAAGCAGAAGACTTAATTCTAATTAATATTGATAATGGAGACATTACACATTCAAAAATGACAGCAGAGGAAACTGAAATTCCAGATGTTCCAGCACATGCGGCAGAAACTTTCATAACAAGGTAAAAAGATGTTGAAGTTGTGTTTATCATAGCACAGAAATCGTGCTTGACCCCCTTTCTAAGCTTTTCATTTTGTATTATTTGTTATATTATTTCATTTATATAAAACCCACTGTACTTGGTAAGGAAAAATTGAAAATGCCAATTAGTTACTATACAGGTAACTTTAAGCAGTCAAAATCATAACCATATTTTTTTTGCAACTCCTAGAATGCTTGTTTCTTTTTTATTCCTGATGCTGGTTATTCTCTGAGCTTGACAGTTCTTTACACAGAAGACTGAGTGTGCTGTGATTTATATGCACTCGAGGTATTCCCAGGAATCTTGTTGGCTTGTCAACACTTGCAAATCAATCTTGAGCTTTCTCAAGCTGGAAGACGTGTTGAGGCCTAAACGACTTTTTTTTTCAAAGGTATGAAAGAACTCAGTGGTGGTAGGATGTAACTTGATGATTTTCTTCTCTGCGTAGGGTGGAGAGTCTCCAGCTGCATTATGATCTAGAGCTCTGCCATCTCCGGGCCAGCACGGATCTTGGTGAACTCCAAACGCGCAGAAGAGCTTGGCAACAGAAACTGAATTCAGAAATTCAGCAAACGACTTTGCAGTTCATTGTTAATATCTTTAGGTCAGTGGATATAGTGGTTTTTTATTAGAAGACCATATGGTGCTGGTGAAGACACTTCCACTGTCACTGAAAATACTCTTTATTTTGTCTTAAGAGATTTACAAAATATCTATAAAGTTTTGTGAGGGAACAGACACAGTCTTGGTCATTTTTGTTAGAGGAGAATGAATTCAAGCTGGGACGAGCTGAGGGCAGGACTGGGAGTTCAGAACACCTGGGTGTGTTTTGGCTGATGGAGCAAATGCTGAGAATGGGTGAGAGATACCTGGAGATTGCAACCACATGAGCATGAAGGAGAGAGAGGAGATGTTTAAGTTCAAGGACAGAGTGTCAGCACAAGAAATTCTGGGTGTTGAGTGTGTTTGGCACTGACATTTTAATAATGGAATAGGTTTGTGTGTTTTTTTTCTCTAGAAAAAGGTCTAGCTATGCTAATTTTCCTTGTTCCTAATCTAATGTGATGCGTTGATACCCACAGTTGCTTTCTCTTACCAGTCTGGGTACTGGTTGTAAATCCTGCTATTACTTGGGGAAGGAATGGAAGTGTGGTACGTGATTTGAACAAAAAAAATGCACAAATGGATGGCTGGTTCACATATTTCTTTTCATTTCTTCATTTCTTTTTACATTTACATATTTGACCATGGAAACGAAACGGCCTACGTGATATTTCTAAAGGATCTGATTGTATGGATGAAGGTCTGCAAAGAGCTGTGCAAATAACCACCCCCAGCTGTTCCTTCCTGCCTCTTGCTGGAGATGATGCTCGCTTTGCATCAGCTACCAAATTGCTTACATGAATGTTCCCTTTCACTTTCAGTCTGAAGTTGCTGGCTTAATTTCTCTAGGTTAATTTCTGTACTCCAAATACCAGGTGTCTGTTAACCTGCTCACTGATGTTGGGCAGCTTAGGGAGTCTTGGTACAAGTGGCCGGGCCCTCTGGGGGGGGAAACTGCTGCTGGGCATGGAGGATAGAGCAGGCTGTATGGCTGGAGATGGAAAATGAAATGCATTTCCAACCTGATGTGCTACCGCTGTGGGATTTGGTGGATTTCAGTGTTTGGCAACAATATGTTCCTGATAAAGATGAGGAGAAATGCATTTTCCTGCTGACAGCTTGAACTCTTTAACGCACTAAATGCTACAAAAAATGAGCAGATGCTTTGCTCTCAAAGAGATAATATGTTTTGCAAAGGGGTTGATTCTTCTCTTTCTTTCTTTCTCCTTTCCTTCAAACTTTCTTTCTTTGTTCTCTTTTTCAGCCTTGTTTCTTCTGTCTTCTAATGCTGTATCTACCAGCGTCCAGGAGTGAAGGAAAGTAAAATCTCTGATGCAATTGTGCTGCCAGTTCCTACTGTCTTCAGTGAAGCCCTGTAGTATTTTTTTGTGTGTGTAGGTTTCATGTTTAAAGCAAACAATGCTAAATTATATAGAACTATATACTTTTACTAGCCATCTATTTTTCTGAACTGTTAATGGGCTTTTATCACTGAACTATGAAAGGCAAACAATATGTGTAGACCTGTCAGATCTCTGCATGGGTACCAGATTCCCCTTTTGTACTTAGCTGGTGAGCTAAGATTTGAATCTTATTTTCTTCATTCATATTTTTTTTCTCATTCCTCAATACTCAGCACGAGTAGATGAATGAGGATGTAATAATAAAAGGAGCCCTGACTTCAGCCACTTGCACATAACTAGCTTAAATAACTTATAATTTCTTACACCCAGACTTCACTTCAGAGAACAGCTTTTTTATGAAAAACTCCCACTTTCTGCTCCTGAAACAACTTTTTCTGGCTCACCTTTAGGGCACAGAAGTTACTATTGACATCTGGTTTTCCAGGGATAGTGTAGGGCCTCTGCTGCCTCCCGGGACCGTGCATATACTGAAATATGCATCAGTGCTCTAACTGGCTTTCTCTTTTATTTCAATATTTCTGTCTCTTTAGTTTAACGCAATTTCCAGTTATTGCTGGCTTTATGAGCAGAGTTTGAGAATGCAGCAAAAATTATGTAATCTATAATACTTCCTGTACAGTGTGAGATCAGATCACATCTTTCAAATTGCTGATGTAGATGGGCAAACTTGTCTTTTTAGTGCTCCAGATGGGTCGTGTGTGATTCAGGAACTGTGTGTGTAAATATAATTCCAGAATTGTAGCCTAAGTCATGACTTAAACATATAGAAACTCCTCTGTGGGTTACTAAAATTGATCCCACAGACTCTAAGTGAATTTGCTGATTTGAAATTATAGTGGCAGCAGACAGTCTTACTTCTTAAAAGAGTTTCCGTTCTTTTTCTGTGATTCAGTAACTCAGACTTGTTAATTAAAACTAAGCCTTCTGATACTGCAGCATATTTCTATTTTGCCTTCTGATGCTGCAGCGAATTTCTAGTAGTACCAGTGGGTGCTGCTATGGCAAAAGTGCAGCTTGCTTACAAATCTCCAAGCATATTTACCTATTTATTTATTTTTGTCTCCAGGGAGGTGAAAGACCATCTAAATTATGAATACAGAGTGTTTAACAGTGAAGAATTTCTGAAAACAAGGGCGATCGGCGACCAGCCATTTTACAAAAAGGTAAATTCAGTGTTAAATATGTTGTGATTCTCTGTTGTTAATCTGTATTTTAGGATTAATGCCAAAAAAGTAATAGAGTGGTCACAGTTCGGTCTTTGTGGTGCTGTTTAACCACCGACTTTCAAAGAATGCTTCACCAAATATCTTTTATTTACTATACAGAGATAAAATTGTAGACAGCGTTTTGGAGAGCAGGGTACTATGTAATTCCAGAGCAAATTAAATGTAGTTCCTTGGGGGTGAGATTAACCTGTGGCAGATAGTCAGTAAAGCCACATCTAAACTGTATTTTAAGCACAGGCTCCTGTCCAGACTGTTTGGACTGAAGCCCATCCGTAGAGGTGAGTTTTTGGTGAGCCTGTGAACCTGAAACCCCCACTTAGTTTTTCTTAGCCCTTCTGCCAACTCAGTTTATTAGATTTGGAGTTTGAAACACTGTAGGGGTGGGGAGTTTTTCCATACAAGCCCATACAAACAGAATTCACCTTTTGCACCTGCCCTGATCAGCTTGATCCCTCCGTTAGTGTCATCTTGATCTGCTGAAGCTCAAAAATGACTCAGTTTTCACCCAGTGTATCCAGGGAACCAGGTTTATATGAAGGATGCAGGTCTGATCTCCTCTGGAGCGTAGACAGTGGTGGCACATCAGTCTGCCTGTTCTGTAATTGGGTAGGTTTAATTTTCTTGTTAAATGGAGAGTGTCTTGGTCACTGGGCTGTAGGATTTGGAGCAGTTCTCCATGCTCTTGGTGTCAGACTGTCACTGACCGTTGGAGGATGGAGATCTTTTGAAAGGAAGGAAAAAGATAGGGGAAACAGAGGGAAAGGAGCAGAGAGAAGGAGAGATTAGGAGTATGCAGGTTCCTGCAAGAGTATCTCGCAGTGTTAGGGTACTTCACCCAAAAGTGGGAAGGTTGAGAGTTTCATCCTTGCTGTTATTTTACATTAAACTCTTTGTACCTGATTAAATTAATATTTGCCTTCAAAGAATTAAACTAAACTGCTGTGTATGTGAGAAACAGAATTTGCTAAGGCTTTGTGTCTAGCCCCCGATAGTGTTCTAGGAGAACTTGGTCTTGACACAGCAGCCAAAATCCAAAGTTACAAACTCTTGTGATTTATTTATTTTTTTTTTAACCGTCGTGATTATTAACCAAATAAAAAGTTTACCTTAGTTAAATGAAAAAAAAAAATGTTTGGAAGAATGTTACCCTGAACTGGGAGTGTCTGTGGTCAATACCTAATTTCTGAAGACATCTTTCTCAGCTTCTTGCACCCATTGATGCAAACATTACATACTCTGACATGCTCTGACAAGCTCTAGGCAATCCTGCTTCAGCAGGGGAGTTGGACTAGATGATCTCTATGGTCCCTTCCAACTCTAAAAATTCAGTGAAATAGTAGTTTTTAACAGATAATTTATTAAGTAGTTCCGTTTTCTAACCAACTGTAACACACTGTTATTTAAGCTTCTCAAAAGTAAAGTATTATTGTCTTCACTTTCTTTGGTGATGCTATAGTTTGTTTAACCAACCTGTGGGATGAATCTTAAAGATGCAAAAATGTTTGTTGGATAAAGCTTGCAACACTAGCAAATGTACTTAACACCAAACAAACAAAATGTGCAGATTTAAGAAGAGCTTTGAGCAGTTGACTCATGTAAATACCAAGTGACCACTGAAATACCAGGTTTGCTTTCAAATATGTCTTAGAAGATAACAATAAGGAATAGTTACTGGTGGTATCTAGAATTCTGTTAAGAGAACTCCAAAAACCATTAGAAAGGACCCTTTTGGTTCCTGCAGCTGGTCATTTCCCGTACATAAAATTGTCAACAAAATGTGCCATCTACTGGAGAAATACTGAAAAGCAGAAATCTTAATGTTTTTGTAGGTGTCTTCCTTTTAGTAAGTTTGTAAAGGCTGGAGGTTGTATAAACATAAAGACACAATTCCTGGTTATAAAAATATTGTCTGCTGATGAAGTTTGCATCTGATTTTCTGAATGGAATAGTTTTCTGAGAGCTCTCTCCTAGGACTAACGTTTATCAAATATTCACGTTGCGTTGCCTCAAACCCTGGCTTTTTTCTTGTTTAAATTTGAAATGGTGGGAAATGGTAGCTTTCCACTTTTCTTTAATTCACCATTGGCATTTTTTACAGTGTCCTCGCTCCTAAAACTAGCAGTTTGACCTTGTGGATATTATTTCTGGATGACACCATGATAATTGCCTTAATAGGGAACAATTTTGGGGGTTTACCAGGAGAAAAGCTGACTATTGCAAACCATAGACAATATTAGCATCACTTAGTTATAGGCAGAAAATACACCGTTAAACTTCAGTAGCTAAAACTGTCTGTTTTGCTCAGTATTCCTCATTTTTATTCGAAAATACAGTCAGAGATTACTGTTTGCAAGTAAGTTTATATGAAAGTACAGAAAATGAATGGAAACTTGAGTTAGTTCTTCTGTTGTTGAAGCTTTTAAATGAGCTGGTGAAGGGTCTAGAGCACAAGTCTATGAGGAGCAGCTGGAAAAACTTCTTCACTGAGAGGGTTGTCAAGTACTGGAACAGGCTGCCCAGGAAGTGCCACCATCCCTGGAGGTACTTAAAAGACGTGTAATGAGGAGCAGCTGGAAAAACTTCTTCACTGAGAGGGTTGTCAAGTACTGGAACAGGCTGCCCAGGAAGTGCCACCATCCCTGGAGGTACTTAAAAGACGTGTAGACATGGTGTTGAGGGACATTGGTTAGTGGTGGTTTTGTCAGTGCTAGGTTTATGGTTGGACTTGGTGAGTTTAAAGGTCTTTTCCAACCTAAATGTTTCTATGATTCTATGGTTTTTGGTTTTGTGATCGCTAAATCGGAAATTCTCAGCTTTGCATATGTAAAGGGAATAAAAATAAGCAAAACATGCTAATAAAAATGTATTTTGTAAATGCTCCACGATTAACCAGCTTGTGTCTTGCAGGTTTTGGAGACCTACATGTTTCACTCTTTCCTTAAAGCTCGTCTGAACAGAAGGATGGATGCTTTCGCTCGACTTGAGTTGAGTACCCAGTCTGAAGAGGACAGGTAAAGTTTTCTCTTTCCTTGGTCTGGTTTTGAATCTTCTATTGATATCAGTAATAAAACTCCTTTTGACTGTATCTTTAAGAGATTAGGTCATCTATGCATAAGATATAACTAATTGATAGGACATTTTATTGAGCTTACTGTAAAAAGGTGATATGAACACGTCCAGCCATGGCTGTTGAAATTGTAAATCGATACTTTAATTGTAACCTTATACTATAATACCAAAAAAAAAAATATCTGTAATTTTGTGTGTATGTATACTAAACTTTAAAGCTAGTTATATAATTTTGAAATTATTTTTCTCAGATTTAACTTGATGTTTCATACGCCGAGAAGACTGACAATGGAGAAAATAGCTTCTAAGCGGTTTCATCAGCAGTACGTGATCAACAGGCGTATGGTAATTAGTATGCCTAATCTGCAAGATATCAAGCTGTCAGAGGGCCCTACTAGAAATTCCTCACTTCGAAGGATAGACGCAGGCGTTGGTAAGGGAAGGATTTGTTGGACAAATACGGTGTCTTTTCTGTTGTCTTTATGGGTGAGATCACTGAATAATTTTCACAGAAGAAGAGTCAGATGCTGGAAAGAAATAGTGAGCTGGGGTGTTTTGAGCCAGGGCTTGTCTGTGCTGCTTCTTGCATGTTAAATCAGCCTGTAACCTGCTGGAAGTTTTGCTGTGTCATAAAAGGCTGAATGCTCACAGTAGAATTGATATTGTAGAATTGCTTCTTGAGTCAGTAACCATGTTTGGTCCTTACCCACCTTATGTCCAGTTCTCTTCCACCTTTAAACATATCACCATTTCACAAAGCAAGTCCTATAGAAACAGTGCTTTGTTTTTTTCCTTCCCAGAACTGAAATTATCAGATTAGGGAATATTCTGATAATAAAGACAGTGGACACAGAAATGTATTTATGTCCCTATCACAACTGTAATCACACTTGACCTTGGTGTGATGCAATTGCCTGTTGCAGTGATGGGGATTCTTTTGTGTTGTGTGTAGTATGGCTGGTTGTGATGCTACTCCTACGTTTACTCACTACTTGTGCTAATCAGTGTACTTGTTTGTTGGTTTTAGCTGTGAAAATGCCCTCCAAATCAGTCAGTACATTCAAAATCCCAGAAATTCACTTTCCTCTGATGTTCCAGTGTGTTCACTCCTACTACACCGACTTCTTCAACCATCTCAGCAAAGCTATAAATACCTTACCACCCGATAACTCGGTGTTGCTGGCAAGGTACTTCTACCTCCGGGGACTTGTTAGCTTGATGCAAGGGAAACTACTAAACGCGCTTTCTGACTTTGAGAACCTGGATAAAACAGACTTGAGAATTTTCCCTACTGACCTTGTAAGAAAAATAGTGGAAACCATGCCTCCTGCTGAGCGTTTCCAAGCAGACCGCAAGCCTGAGCTGAAGAAGCTGATAAGTCGAGTGATGGAAAAACAGAGAGAAGTTGTGAAAATAGATGATCACGTGAAAAATTTTGAATTGCCAAAAACACACATGCAACTGGATGATTTTGTGAAGCGAATCCAGGAATCTGGAATTGTCAAAGATGTGGACACTATACATCGGTTATTTGATGCCCTAACAGTAGGTGGGTATAAGATACGTTTTTAGTGGCCATTTACATTGATCCAGTGACAATTTCAAACCTTTTCTTTTTTTATGAACCAAAAGAATTTTTTTCTTTCCAGTTGTTTTTCTTTTTAATTACTATTCAACAATTTCTGGGCTTCTAAAAACTCACAATATGTAAGCTTTATGGACCGTTTTATTTAATTTGGATAATTATGGAGAATACATTTAATGTATACAAGAGTGTCTATACTTGATTCCTTGTTTTTATTGTGGATGCTACTTGTATTTGGGCACACAATTTACAGTTTCTCTGGTTGTACAGGTGAGGTGGTTTTGTGATCTGGTGGTGTGCAGTTCTGCTTTGGCAGTAAAGTGAATTCAGGACTGTCCTAATTGCTAATGGAAAATCCCTCTGTGTTGTAAAACCACTCGATAATGTGACAAAGTGGCAGTCTGTTAAAAATAAACTGCCAAAATCCAGAATTCAGGTAGTTGCAGTTAAATTCCTCTTGGATGGTCATCATAGCAAGAGGAGAGGTTATGTTTATGTTTGTGAGGACTTTCTTCTCTCCTGAATGAGAACTGAATCTCATGATTGATTTCTAAAAACAGAGTTTGCGAGTGTTTTTATAAAATACTTTTCACTTCTCTTTCGGTGTGGAGTGACTCCGGTAACTGTTATATTTTTGTGGCCACAAAGAATTAAACATTGGCCAGAATAGCAAGACTGTAGCAATACTTCCTGAAGCCAGAGGCAGCACGCCTCTTGCAAGAATTTATGTTTGAGATTCTGTTGTCCAAACGCTTGAATTCTTAGAATAATTAATTACTCAGAATGCCTATTGCTGAAGTATTTAACTGTAGCTTTTATCCCAGGTTGGTAAGTTTGTGATATAATAGCATCCAATAGAATAAAGAACTGGAAGATCATGATGGAAAGTATTCAATGCGGTAGGGAAGTTACAAATCCATCCTCTGACTGGATTTTTGGTGTAAATTTCAAAAAGCAAGACTCACAGTGTTTGCTCCCTCCCTTTGTACAGCAGGAAGGGAGGATGCCAGATGCACGGGACCTGTGCCCTGGGCTAACTACAGACGAATCTCTCTACCTCAAGAGAAGAATTATGTCTCTTAACTCTTTTCCAGGCCTATTTTTTTATGGTTTTTGCATCTTGCTTACCCATTATGCTGTTAGAAGCACAATTATAAAGTTACTGTCTTTTAAAGCTGTCTTTCTCTGCAAATCTGGATCACTGTTTCTGACATTAAATACGTTTTAACCATTTTTTAGGGCAGCAGAAACAGATCGATCCTGAAACGTTCAGAGATTTCTACAACTACTGGAAAGAAACTGAAGCAGAAGCTCAAGAGGTGAATCTGCCACCGACAGTAATAGAGCATCTAGATAAAAATGAATGTGTCTACAAGTTATCCTGCTCAGTTAAAACTAACTACGGTGTAGGGAAAATAGCTCTGACCCAAAAGCGCTTGTTCCTGTTGACAGAAGGAGGCCGTCCTGGCTACATCCAGATCGCTGCTTTCAGGGATATCGAGGTGAGCACCAAGTGACTTCTCCTTCTCTTGTGTGTCTATGGATACAGGCCATGTTCCATGCTGCAGAGATCTGTCTCTCAGCTTAAAAGTTTCAGGAAGGAGTGTAGGAGTAACTCAGTAACTTCAGAGTGACTAGATAAAATTCTGGGTCTTTGGACCAAGAATTTTAGGGTTGATGTAGTATGGTTTGCCAGCTGCTAGGATGACATCGAGTAAAAATCTAGGGGTCATCACCTCTAGATGTAGAGAAGGGTGCAGAGCACAGCACGTGGGATTTAGAGCTCGAGAAGTTTAATAGCATGAGCATTAATTGTGCTAATTTGACTGTGATGTGAGGGATGTTTAAAAGACATGTAGATGTGGGTCGAAGGGACGTGGTTTGGTGATGGTTTTTGTCAGTGTTGGGTTGATGGTTGGACTCGTTGGTCTTCGAGGTCCCTTCCAACCCAGGCAATTCTCTGATTCTACGAGTACTGCACCTTATCTCTGATTTCATGCTGTATCTTCCTCACTTTCTTTGTTTCCTTACATTCCCAGGAAGTTAAGAGCACGACTGTAACTTTCCTTGTTTTGAAAATACCTACTCTGAGGATTAAAACATCATCTAAAAAAGAAGTCTTTGAAGCAAACCTTAAAACTGAGTGTGATCTCTGGTACCTGATAGTGAAAGAAATGTGGGCTGGAAAGAAAATGGCAGATGATCACAAGGTATAAATATGGGAATTTCTAACCAAATAAGTATGAAGCGTGTGCTTTCTGTCTCTGTTCTAAATAATTAATGCCTCAGTCTTAGAATTTCTAGGTTTCAACAACCAATAGCTAACTAATAAGCTTTTATTTTTTTGTTACTTCTAAATGCAATACTTCTGGAGCAATACAAAAAATTAAAAATAAACATTTAAAAATATAGGATATTTTTTCTTCTCATCCCTTGGCGTGGAACTTCTAATTTATTCACTAGTTCTGTGAAATAGTTTCTTAAGTTCACAATGTATGAGAATAGTTATACTAACTAACAGGACATTTTTCCCCACCTTGCTTCAAAATACAATGTACAGAAAGAGTTTGGCTGTTCTGGAGCCCTGGTGGCTCTAGATCCTTTCAATGAATAGAGAAGATGTCTTCTTCTGCCACAGAAACCTTGAGAGAAACGATCATAGGAGCCAGGTTTCCATTTAAACCACGTAATTCTTCGTGACTGCTAAATTTAATAGTGAAAAGGTAGTTTGGTGGTTCTTCAGGAGGGTTTTGAATTGTTTTGAGCAAGGTGAAGCATAATGTTTACTTCCCTCCCGTGAAGAAAGAAGGATGTTCATCCTGTGACCCCTGCACGTTTTCCACCAGTGCCAGTCACGTGGTTTTCTTTACACCTCCTGTATCAAGATTGTGCCAGATCTGAAATAATTCCTTTGGAGTAATCAATTAATGCTGGCTCCTGGAGTGGGATGTGTGATGTGGGAGCAGGGTTTGACTGCGAGCGGCATGAGTTAACACAGCAACTGGCTCGTGCTTGTGTCATGGGTTGTGATTGCTGAATGTGGAGCCTTGTAAGAATAATGAGCAATAGATAAACTACAGCGAGATTTTTGTCTTTAGGATCTTCAGTATATTCAGCAAGCACTGACAAACGTTCTCCTGATGGATGCTGTGGTTGGTGCCCTGCAGTCCTCCAAGAACATATATGCGGCCTCCAAACTGGCTTATTTTGACAGGATGAAGAATGAAGGTCAGTCACGTAGCGATGCTACAAAGCCTGCTGTTGTTGCATCATCTGCCTCAGCTCTTTCTGTTTCTATTCTGGTTTTCAAACTGATTATCTGTAAAAATAGGACAAGATGTTAGTTTGATTTCACTTTCACAGATGTAGTTTATTAAATAGAATTAATAGAAAGCTTAAGGGTTTGGGTTTTTTTTTGCCATGGTATGTCTGTCTCATGGTTGGATGATGTGTTTTTATTGTGGTTGTTTAGAAAGCCTGGGTATTGTATGTGGGCTTCTGCTACCAGAATTCATACCAATGGTGTTTGGGCTGTCTTAGTCAGCTATGGCTAGAGGGAAGGAAAAGTGAGAAATGTGAATAAATGGTGCAGAATTATTATTTCATAAGAATTATAGATCTACTTCTTACATCTTAGGTGTAAGTGTGTACTTCATGACTGTTTAAAAATCTATTTTAGTGCCTATGATGGTCCCCAAAACAACTTCAGAGACGTTGAAGCACAAGATCAATCCCTCAGCTGGGGAGACATTTCCACAGGCAATAGATGTCTTGCTTTATACGCCAGGTAAGGCAATGTATTGCTTTCTTTATGTTAACTCAGCTTTAATTAGCCTATAAAGCATGTTATCTCATAACACCTGGTATTATGACTGCCTGATTTTGTTCACATTCTGATGTGCTTTGGTTGTGTGTTGAATACTAAACCAGAAAATCATTAAAAAAGAACAATAACGTTGCATATTAAGATACTCCAAGGCATAGGTTTCACAGTCTTAATTTGTCTTCCTGCCTTATAATAGACTTCAATTATGTGTTAATGTGCTGACTTCCCATTAAGACTTCTTCATTTATTGAACAGGGTGGATGAATGATGCTCCACCATTGACCAATATGCATTGTTATTTTTTTATTTTCTAGTAGTTGGGGGGTTTGGTTGAACCACAGTGCAAGGAATAGAGTTTCCACCTCTTGTAATCCCAGCCAGACCGATGTGCCAGTGACTCTCCTTGGGTAGTACGTGATCTAATGTACTATCCATCACATGGAATTATCAATTATCAATTTCCTTGTGAGCTTTTGTGTGAGACTTGGCACATTTATATCTGACTAATTCAAAAAGCACTGGAAAAAAAAAATAGAAAAAGTTAAGAACTGGGCATGAATTTCAGTAGCAGATATGTTACTTCTGGAAGTTGCTAACTCTTAACTTCATAACCTTACTAGTCTTCTGATGTAAGATCATATGTAATTCCTAGTGTTTGGGCAATTTGAGACAAAAGGGGAAAGTTAGTGTCATTCCAAAGTTAAGGAAGTGGGCAGGAGCAACTGCATGTGGATGGTGGTGGGTTTGGTGGTGCTTTTCTCTCTTTGTAGTATGAGGTTTCAAAGTGGAGCTCAAATGGAGCAGATGGAGTGGATTTATTAGTTGTATTTCGTAGGGATTAAAAGCCGTCCTGCAATCCCAGTTAGCTAAGTACTTAGTCATCAATGAAAAAGATTCTCTCTGCTCTGAATGACTTTGAAGTGTAAGATTAAACCAGAAGGTGAATTCAAGAAATAGATGAGAACAAGCACAAATTCTTTGTGAAAGCTGTGTCACTCATTAACTGATGATGCAAGTTCCAGATCACATGTGCGTTTTGTTAGGAAGCTGCTCTGCCTAATAATGATTTTTCCACAGGTCTCCAAAACTGGTTTCTTTTCTTTTATCTCTTTGACATTCCCTGCTTCATTTCTAGGGCATCTCGACCCTTCAGAAAGACCTGGCAATGCTCATCCCAAACTATGGTGTGCTTTAAATGAGGGGAAAGTGGTGGTCTTTGACGCATCTACCTGGTCTATTCAGCAGCACTGTTTCAAAATGGGCCGCTCTAAGCTGGTAAGACTGACACACACATCACAGTTCCTGCCTTGGCTTGGTGTTTTTCTTGCTGTAGCCTGTGTGACCCTGAATCCCTGTCCTTCTTTAGAGGTTGTAGAAAGACATTTGAGTTGCCTGGGCTTCAGTTAACTTGGAGAAATGGAGATTTTTGGAGAAAAACAGAAAGGAGGAGGATTCATAACAGAACAAGTCAACCTGTTTCATAACAAAAGAATTCATAACAAAACAAATCAGCTGGTGGGAAGTGACAGATTGGGTATCAGAAGGGCTTGCTGGCCTAATGGCGTGGCTTCTTGGTGCTAGAGGGTGGGTTTGAAACAGTTGTGGAGAAAGAATAACGGGGAGAATCAATATAAAAAGAAGATGAGACGAGCCCTAAGACAGGATGAAAACTCAATTGTGCTTTGAAGAACTGGAAACTGGGGAAAGGTGTAAGGAAACCAGGTGGATGATATTGAAAGGGAGATCCAAAAGAACTACAGTAACTTCTGTGGTTTCCCCAATGCTTTTTGTAAATTTTACATTGTTTGGGCCAGGAAACACAGCTTTGAGTCAGTTACCAAGATACATTATTAATCCTATTTACTGAAGGATAAACTCTTGACAGAAGACATCTGTCCTTTCTCATGATTGATAGAGCAGAGCAAAGGATAGAGCACTGGAGCTCCAAGTCTTGATCTCCCACTGTCATCACCAGAAAACTGTAGCATCTTAATATTGCCTTTTTCCGTGTTACATTAAAGAGTGATTTTTCTTCTAGATTTTATTTAATCTTGCTTTTTCTCCCCAGACTTGTATGATCATGGTAGAACAGAGTCAAGTGTGGATCGGCTCTCAAGACTCCATTATTTATATCATCAACACCCACAGTATGTCTTGTAATAAGCAACTGAACGATCATCGTTCCGATGTTATGGACATCGTTGTGGAGAAGAAGAATGGAATACCCAGGTATATTTAATTACCACGTTTTCCTCCTAAAAATACATATACAAGCAAATGTGAAGGACGACTGAAGGACCAGAAGAGTCAGGGACGTGTGGAGAATCTTCCTGTGATTAAACAGAAAGCCATTTTATGTAGCTGGTGTTCACCAGACCAGAGAATTTGACCCACAGTGAGCAGAGGACTAGTTAAAATCCAAATAATACAGTTTGATTAGACTGAAACAAAGGCAAAAAGTTTACTTGTGCTCAAGGAGAAGGAGCTCATATAAAAAACCAGTGCCTGATTTTCCTAGATTTTGGAAAAAAAGTATTGTTATAAAAGGAGGGGCTTGGCCTGCTAACATAAGCCTTCATTTAGCCCATTTTTGTAGCTCCCATGTTGTATTTGGTAAGTTAAGAATTTCCTTTTTAAAAAAAGAGCATTATGTACTTTGGAACAAAGAGGCTAAAGGAATGCTTTTTTGGATGAGGATGAGAGCAGCCAAGAATTGGCAGCATCTGATGATGAATCAATGCAGATGGGAATTTAAAGCCCACTTCATTTTTGCTTTGAGCACATCGTGGACTGGATGTTTACAGCATGGTTCTGGATTTTTCCTGCCTATTTGCAAAAAAATAAATAAATAAATAAAAATAATACATTTATGGTTTTGTTCAGGCAAAATACTTTTGGTAGCAGTGGGAAGAGCATTGGCTGGAGGCCTTAACTCTGGCTTCCTATGGTCAGACTGGACACCAGCCACAGCCCTGCCAGTGCCACAGCAGGCATAACTGGGTTTCCTAATTTGCTTAGGTGGTGTTGGAACCTTCTGGAAAAGGTTTTATCATCTGAAGATGGCAGATGATAGAGGCTAAAAAAAAAAAAAAGGGATAGTATAATTTGTTTTCCCAGGTGCAGGTGTTGCAAATGGAATCGTGCACTTCACTCACAGGAGAGGAACAGCAGTATATTTTATTGATATAAAATAGTGAGGTAACAAAGTTGAATGGGAAATGCAACAGTGGTTTAACAAGATTCGATGGCAAAGTAGATTTGATTATTTACTGCGTGGAGGACAGGGTAGGACAGAACTGTCAGGGAGACCCTCCTGTTGAGTCGAGGTTCAGAAAAGACCCCCTGGCTTTTTTAATTCCTTCTCAGAGAGGAGCCTGGGTGCAGCTGGATCCAGTCATAGAATCATAGAATGGTTTGGGTTGGAAGGGCCCTCAAAGATCATCGAGTTCCCTCACCCCCCCTGCCATGGGCAGGGACACCTCCCACCAGACCAGGTTGCTCCAAGCCCCATCCAGCCTGGCCTTGAACCCCTCCAGGGATGGGGCATCCACAACTTCCCTGGGCAACCTGTTCCAGTGTCTCACCACCCTCATAGTAAAAAATTTCTTCCTGAGATCTAATCTGAATCTTTTTTCTTCCAATTTAAAACCGTTTCCCCTTGTCCTATCATTACACCTCCTGGCAAAGAGTCCTTCTCCAGCTCTTCTATAGGCACCCTTCAGGTATTGAAAGGCCAGTCCTAGTCCCAGACTTGGCTAACGGTTTATGTCTGAAGGATTATATGTGCACAATCAATCCTTTATCTCACTTAGCTAACATTTCAAGGTTGGGCATGCTATTAGTCACTTACCAAGCATCTGTTGGGCCAAAGCATCTCTCAGCCTTGAGGAGCAACCTTGAAAAGCATCCCTACTCGTGGGGAGTCCTGATGTGTAGCCTGCTGCCCTGCAGGAGAACTCAACAGGCCCTGGGCTTTCCACTATTTATAGAGTAAAATGATTGACTTATAATCATATTTGCATACCAGCGAGACATCTGGGTCACTGTTTCAGACAGCCCTTGGGTACCAAGTTGCCATCCATCCCCCAAAATCCAGAGTAAGCTGGATTCAACCATCACAACTCCCACTGGTGGTTGTGGCTTAATCGGGGAGGGGGAAGGAGGGTACATTGCTACAGGAGTAGCAAAGGAAAACAGCTTTGACGTATTTTTGTCCTAATGTGAGAGAAAAAGAGAGAAAATCCAAGGCAGGAGAGTTATAGGGAAAATTTTTGTCGTATTTAACTGCTCATGCATGATGTAACGCGTGCTCCAGTTCACTTAGAGCTCTGAATTAGCCTGCAGTGTTTCCGATGATACAGACTTTGTAAAGTATAATTTTAAGAAGAAGAAGAAAATATCTGTGGTAAAATACTTTGGTTCCAACAGGAGGCATAAGCAGCTTGTAAGTTGGATGCCTGGCTGCAGCCCAGAGCTGTTGGCTGCTTAAATGCCCTTTTAGCTGCCTAGAACCAGCTCCTGAGAATATCACTAGGGGGGAAAAGAAGTTTAGATCCTTCCCTAGGTATCTTGCTGGGCACAGGATGGATGTGCTCCTTGTCCACTCAAGACCGGTCACCTTCTTTAAAAGAATTGAAGCAGACTAATTGTTCTCTATTAAAATAATGATAATATCTGGCTTGGAGGCTTTTGGACTTCAGTCCATTTTCTGTTGGAAATCCTTACTGTGCTTTACTCTTCCGGTGTCAGAAATAAGAACATTAATTTGGCTTACTATAAAATGGGTAATTTTGCATGTAAGTCTGTTCTGAACATGAATGTACACTGTACTGCTGTTGTTAATTTTTTCATCTGTCCCACCAGCGAGGCGTACTCGAGCAGCTTAGACGGAACAGTGATTGCCTGGAACATCAGCACTCTGAAAGTTAACCGCGTCTTTCAGCTGCCCTGCCAAAATCTCACTTCTATCAAGCTTCATAATGACCAGCTGTGGTGCTGTAAGTTCATTCCTCAAATAATTTAAAAAAACCCCAAAAAAACGTTTTCACATAATGCACTGTTTTATTAGACGGAACAAGACATTCATCTCAAACTCAGACTTAGGTGTAAGAAATGTTCTTCCCCCAATCTCCACTTAGTCTGTTTTTAATACTTTATGGTATTGGTCTGCCTTGGTGATCCCCAGACCTGCATTTTGGCCACTTCCAGAAGTGCCATCCCCTCTGTAGAAGTTGAGATGCATGAAGTCAAGCTTTGTGCTGTGGTAAAAGAACACTTTGAAGTTGTTTCATAAACGGTGACCGATGCAGGAATTTTGCACTGATTTTTCACTACTGCCACACACCAGAGCCTGTGTCCAAACACATCTTAACAGAACATCAGCTGAAGCCTGGGGCAGTTCCCAGTCCTGCTGTGGGAGCAGCGATGCTGCCGTTGCAGCAGTGGGTTATGGATTCAGCCCTCTGAACTTTGTAGCACGGACACTTGGCCTCAGGTCTGCAGATGAAAATAAACGTGCACTTGAGAACCTAAGTATGAGATGTCCTAATTTTAAGGAGGTTGTTCCTTCTCCTCTCATCACTTTTGGACTCTAAACTAGCAGCTGTACGCGCTGCAGAATAGCAACCGGTGTTTGGAGAAGGAACGGACCTAAAAATAGATCCTGGGGAAAACAGGAAGAAATACCTCAAAGATTTCACTGTTGATTGAGAAACAAGACATTTGTTAGATGCATCCCTTTTATTTTGCTTTTTTTCTCCATGGTTTATAGAGATGGAGGAAGTAGACACTTCTGTTAGTAACTCTTTATCTTTAATACTGAAGGTACTGGAAGTTGCATACTTGTTTTGTCAACTCATGAATTCCGGCTACAGATGAAAATTGAGCATCACCTGAGGGATGTGGCTTCCTGTTTTCTCTGCTTCCAGCTCTTCCCTGAGGTATTCTATTTAAACTGTTTTAAAGAAGCATGACTCTGTGGCATTACAAGCCATAGTTATCTATCCTGATATATTTCCTGTCAGCAGTGCTCATGTCAAACATGTCTTTCTGTGCTTTAGAGAGATGAAGTGTGGGCGTCTTACTCGGGGAGTAGTGACCTGTACATCTGGAACACCAGAGATGTTGCAAGTCCACCTCAAAAGATTCATCTTCAAGATTGCTCTGAGATTACTTGTATGATAAGAGTTAAAAATCAGGTGAGAGACATTCGGACTGTTTTTTACCCATTGTGGAATTCTTTTAGAATCATAGAATCATAGAATGGTTAGAGTTGGAAGGGACCTTAAAGATCATCAAGTTCCAACCCCCTGCCCTGGGCAGGGACACCTCCCACCAGACCAGGTTGCTCCAAGCCCCATCCAGCCTGGTCTTGAACACCTCCAGGGATGGGGCATCCACAGCTTCTCTGGGCAACCTGTTCCAGTGTCTCACCACCCTCACTGTAAAGAATTTCTTTCTGGTATCTAATCTAAATCTCCCCTCTCCCAATTTAAAAACTTTTACTAAGGTTTTGTTTGTTGGCAGCTCTCATGGGCTGTCATTGCTTCCTTACTGGGTGTTTTTGTAGGTACTGGTTTGAAATGTTGATTCCTCTTTGAAATCAGACTGCCCAAATGGCTGTTACCTACCCCACAATGCATGTCAAACCAAAAGCCTCATCCGTAATTAAGTGTGTGGTGACTTTTATTGGCCATTGACATTTGCAGGTAATGGTAGAAACTGAAATTTTAGCTCCCTTGAGATTTAATCTCAGGGCTCCTAAGACTAAGCCTTGGAAAAAGGTTAATAGACAAACAATAAATGCCAGTTAGCCGGCCTATTTTTGTAGGTGACCTTTTTCTTGTTTAGTTACTACATTCCTAACCCAAAAGAGACCAAAGGAGCCAATGGCTTCCTATCTCAGCATCCTGTGTCCCTGTCAGACTCAGGCTGTGTACCTGCTTTTTCTGGGTGGTATCAGTAGGTGTGCCAGTGCCTGTAGCTGTGATATCAGATGGGGAGTCCTGGCTTTTTCCATCTTTTCCTGAACCAGGGGAACCTCAGGGGAGCCAAAAAACCCACCAGGAGCCCACAGCCCACAGCAGCTGAGGAGACCTGGGCAGGGTCAGGAGCAATGGTGACCCAACAGTTATAGTAGAACCCCCTGGGGAGAGCTACTGGCCAGGAGCACCTTGATCAGAGTGGGCAAACATGGCATGGCATGGCAGTTTGAGCAGGAAGTGTGGTGTAACTCTGGTGTGTCCACCCAGAAGAAGGCCATGTCCTCTCTAAGCTCTGCACCCACCACAACTGAGGCAGCTTCACAGACAGGGCTCCGATGGGGACATGCTGCCACTCAGGTGCCAGGCTGTGGGGTGTCCCTGCTCTTCCACCAGTGAGGGAGGTGTGCCCAGGGAGAGGAACTCCTCCATGTGGTGACAGAGCTCTGGGAGGAGCTTGAGGAGTATCGGGGAGTCTGAGAGGGAGATAGACATCAACTCCAGCAGATACATATATCTCATAGTATAGTTTGGGTTGGAAGGAGCCTTCAAAGGTCATCTAGTCCACCTTCTCCTACAGTGAGCAGGGACATCTTCAACTAGTTCTTCTTATATATATAGGGTATTTTCAGTGTTTCCCTTTTCCAACCTGGCAAGAGAGAACCTTCACCGTCTCCATGTGGCACCGTGTCCTCGACTGAAACGTCAAGTATCAAAACTGACCCTAGTTTGGTTTGGTTTTGTTTTGACTCCAGATGTGGGTTGGCAGCAGTGGAAGGTCACAAGGCAAGAGCAGAGGGAAGATCTACGTGATCGATGCTGAGAAGAAGACGGTGGAGAAGGAGCTGGTTGGTCACACGGACACAGTAAGGGCGCTGTGCTCGGCAGAGGACAGATACGTCCTCAGCGGCTCCGGGAAGGAAGAAGGGAAGATTGCCATTTGGAAAGCTGAATAGTTCAACTGTTCAAAATATGGCAAAATACATATTTTCCTCCCTGTGCTGAGGAAAAAAGCTCAGAACCTCAGGCCGCGTTTACTCCAGCATCTTGCTTCTATTTCAACCACCTCTCAGTGTTATTTTTTTGTGGTATTTATTGAGTTATTTAGTAGCTACGTTGTTGTAGAAAATGGAAATGGAAGTGAATCTCTCCTGGCACCTTGTCCTGCTCCTGCATGTTTGATAATAACAGGAATGTGAACTGAGGGGTCACTGCCTTTGAACTTGACCCGTTTTGGTGGGGAGGAGCAGGGCTGTTGGCCGGGCCACGTGGTGCTGGTTGCCCCAAGAGAGAGAGAGCAGAAACCAGTTCAGTAATTCCAGTAATTCTGCTGGAGCTCTTTCTCATTTGTCTAAAACCATGCGATTCAATCTTTACAGCCTATAATAGCTGGAAATGGGCACTGAAAAGGAAAAAAAAATATATCTAAGTGCCTTTGTTGGATTTACTGTAAATGCTGAGTGTCTTTCTGAACTGGTTTTATCTGGGAGGACTGGTTGTTCCCCCTCTGTACATTTATGGTGCTCTAGTATTGAAGATGTAGACACGGATCACGCCGAAAGCTCCCTGCTGGGGAGAGAAGATACTTGGGATGTTATTGACAACTGTTTTTTAAACTTGTTTTTCCTTTAGAAACAAGGCCCAGCACTTGGCATTTGGAACAGTATGTGACACTCCTTGGGGTTTGTTTTTTTTTTTTTCCCCTCTTCTGAAGCACTTAATTTATTTAATTTCTGTATATATTACGCTGGCTTTTGGACACAACCTTCCAGTTCCTTTGCAAACCAACCTCTGCCACTCCTCCCGTGGGTCACCGTTGCTGCAGGCACAGGAACTGCTGTTACTTCGTGTAGAACCTGCTTAATTTTCAAATCCTGTAAAGTCCTCAAACTACTCTTTAATTACTGAAGCCAGCATCACGGGGGTGTGATCTGGGGGACTCTCTTGACAGCGTCTCCTGATCACGTCCTCACCTCCCATGTTTTCCCCACTGATGACAAGTACCTACAAGTCAAGCAATAAATGGAGGCAGAAGAGTTTTGTGTCGACGATATTTAATATATTGTAAATAGAAGGAAAAAAATGGGCTGCTACTTTTGTTCATAAATACAAAATAGGCCTAATAGAAGTGTAAACTACTGGAAATAATACTCTCTGTAATATTTCTATTACAATGTGCTGATGAAAGGTTTTATCATATGTGGTAACTGAAATTTTACCTTTTTAAGTGTGGGGTTTTTTTTTCAATTTCAGAATATTAAACACTATATTGATACTCTGGCCTCTCTTTGTGCCTTGTTCTTTTTCCTGTGTAAAGGAATATTGTGTATTTCTTGATAGACACTACGAGACTGATGATTTTTAGCGCTGACTTGTGTCCTGGCTGTGTGCTGTGGAGAATAATTCCCTGGATTTTCTTCTCTACACACTCTCCTTTCTCAAACCAGCTTCTGCTGGTGGCGTGTCCTCCTTTGAGCTCCTCATCTCTAATTTCCATGTTCCTTATTTCCTCCCCTGGCTGTTGCTTCTGCTGAATTATTTACTGCATGAAAAGATTTCTCTGTGCAGGGACCCACAAGTGCTGTTAATGCCACTGTGCTCCTACGGAGACGGACCTGGCTGTGCCAACCTGTGCCTGCCTCTCCATGGTTTTGGGGATTTCATTCCTGCTCCGTGTCTGCCTGGATTTCATTCCTGCCGGACTCCTTGAACCTGCTTTTGCCTTCTCGACCGCTTCGTACCCGGCTCGTGGAAACCTCAGGTGACACAACCAGCAAATGCCTGGTTTTTGTGATGATTGTAAATTCTTTTGTTCATAAAAGACTCCCATTTATGGAATAGGAATCTAATTCATTGAGATGTCTTCTTTTCAAAAACACTGCTTTCTTTAATACCAGCTGTTGAACAGGAGAAGAGTTTGACCCCATCGGACCAAACCATGAGATACAAAGATCCTGCAAGAAAACTAACCCATCCCCAAGAGCAGGAGCACCAGCGGGAATTCCAGGGACTTGGGGAGCACAAGTTGGACTGCCAAAAGGTCACCCCTCAGCCTTCTCCAAGCTGAATAAACTGTGATCTCAGCCACTCCTCGTAAGTAAGTCTTGCCCTCAAGGTCTTTCACCACCTTCCACCCCCCTCGAGGGGCGCAGCGGAGGTGGGGAGCTGATGTCCTCTCTCTGATGACCAGCAATAGGACACGAGGGAATGGAGTGAAGGTGCATCAGGGGAAGTTCAGGTGGAACATTAGGAGGAGGTTCTTCAGTGAGAGGGTGGTTGGTCACTGGAACAGACTCCCCAGGGAGGTGGTCACGGCCCCAACCCAGAGTGGACAATGCCCTTGGTCTTATGGTTTAGTTTTAGGTAGTTCTGTGAGGAGTAGGGAGTTGGACTCAATAATCCTTATGGGTCCCTTCCAACTTGGGACATCCTCCCACTCAAACCAAGGGATGGCAGTGTTGGCTTTCAGAAATAACCCAGCTGTGGAGATAGGAGACGCAGGAAAGGCAGCCTGTCTCCTGGTGGCTGTGACATGGGACATGGCAGGTAGGAGACAGCCCCTTTCCTCTGCCTTCCAGCCTCACTCATGGGCTGCTGTGGGGCTGGTTGTGGGGCTGGACCCCCTTTTTCCATTGGTACCCCATAAATCCTGCTATTTACAGTCAGCTTTTTAGAGCGAATAGAGCAAAAAGGCCATGAATTCCCTCTTTCTGTACCTATTTCAGATGCCCCACTCCCAGCCCTGTCCCCTCTCAGGGACACCATCCCATGGGTGGCATCGACGTGGGTCCTGGCTGCCATGGGGTCAGCTCAGTTTGGGGGCCAAGGTAGCAGGATTCACACCCCCCCAGCTGTCTGGCTGCCACCCTGTCCCTTTGTGCCACCCCAGGTGTTGGGACAGGGAGGGGATGCTGCAGAAACATCATGTGGCACCAGCTCAGCCCCCCAGGCCTGGAGGAGGAGGAGGAGGAGGAAAACGCTGCTCCTCTGCCCTGCCCTGGTGCCACCACAGCTGGAGGGTTGTGTCCAGCACCTAAAGGGGGCTACAGGAAAGATGGGGAGGGACTTTTTGGAAGGGCTTGTAGTGATAGGACGAGGGGTGATGGCTTCAACCTGGAAGAGGGGAGATTGAGATGAGATCTCAGGAAGAAATTATTTCCTGTGAGGGTGGTGAGACACTGGAACAGGTTGCCCAGAGAAGCTGTGGCTGCCCCATCCCTGGAGGGGTTCAAGGCCAGGCTGGATGGGGCTTGGAGCAACCTGGTCTGGTGGGAGGTGCCCCTGCCCATGGCAGGGGGTTGGAACTCAATCTTGAAAGTCCCTTCCAACCCAAACCATTCTATGATGTTAAGTCCCAGGTGAGTTTCTCACCTTGGGTTTTTTTTAAATATTAATCTTTGGGAAGGAGATGAATGTTGTCTGGGATGGAGAAGCAGCAGCCACGCTGGGCCTGCGTCACCACCAGCCCCCCAAGTGCCCCACAGAAAGGACATGTCCCCAGTCCCACCCTCCCCACCCCACAGCAACACCAGGGACCAGCTCTTACTGAAATGTTTATTAAGATCGAACTTCAGAACAACGGATCGGAACACAACGTCTCGTGGAGTAGAGTATTTCTAAATTGATTTTCCTCTTCTATGCATAAATGAAAAACGAATCAAGATTATACAAAAAAAAAAAAAAAAAGAACAGAAAGTGCAGAACACAATAAAACAGTTCTCATGCAACAAATCTTTCTTGTTTTTAAACCTTAAAACAGAAAATAAGCTCAACAGTGTAGAAATAAAAACCCATACATACATTTTGCCGTCTACGCACTCAAACATTCATCTGTGACATCACTTCTCTTTATCCCTTTTTCCTCATAAAACTTAACATTATGTGTTTAACACATGCTTATAAACATTGCTAAACTCAGCAAGAGCTATTATAGTGCCCCAACTTAATAAGTTGATAAAAAAGTAGTTGTCGTATGGCCAGTTCACAAAGGAACTAAATATTCTCTATTTTTTTTTTTTTCTTTTTTTTTTAATTGTCTTTTTCCGCTATGAGATGCCTATATGCAGCTTTCTATTAATATGAGGCATTTAAAATAAGCTGGTCATTTGGCTACCGAAAGGGCTTAGTGTTCACGTTACATCAGAAGAAAAAAAATAATAATAATTGATTAGGAACTGCCCCTTTGGGGAGAAAAAAGTCTTTCTGGGTTGTTTTTGGGGGGCTCCTTACCACAATTTGGCTCTCGCTGAGGATTTGGGTGCAGACTCAAGGAGGTGACACCTACTTCGGCCAAACTGCTCCTAGAGCTTCACCCCCAGCGCTGAAATTTAAGAAAAAAAAGGTGTTAGAACGTGTCAAATTGAACCGTGTCCTGGGCTTTCTTATTTAGCAGGTCCCAAGGGCAGCAAGAGCCTTTTAGTTTTACCAGGTGCTCTCTCTTTTCTGGGGGGAAAAAAGGTATTTCTCTCTGCTGGGCACCCCAGGGGCAGACGAGCCACACTCATGTCAGTGGAGGAACCACATAAAACCAGTTTTCCAGAAGGTGATTTTAATTTAAATTAGAGGAAAAACTGGAGGGTCGTAAAAAATGCCCAGGCAGACGTTAGTGTGACGTTACGAAAAGGCAAATTAACCTTTTTCCTTGTTATCTAAGATAATTTCCTAACTGGGGGGGCTCCTCAGCCTCAAAAACAAAAGGCCAGTTTGATTTTTGAGCTCCAGCTTCTTCTGGATGCAACATGAGAAACAGAAAAATCTTTGGGTAGCTCCAACTTTTTCAAAAATGACCTTTTTTTTTTTTTTTTTTTTTTTTTTTTTTTTTTTTTTTCCCCGATTTCTCTCTGCTGGGCACCCCAGGGGCAGACGAGCCACACTCATGTCAGTGGAGGAACCACATAAAACCAGTTTTCCAGAAGGTGATTTTAATTTAAATTAGAGGAAAAACTGGAGGGTCGTAAAAAATGCCCAGGCAGACGTTAGTGTGACGTTACGAAAAGGCAAATTAACCTTTTTCCTTGTTATCTAAGATAATTTCCTAACTGGGGGGGCTCCTCAGCCTCAAAAACAAAAGGCCAGTTTGATTTTTGAGCTCCAGCTTCTTCTGGATGCAACATGAGAAACAGAAAAATCTTTGGGTAGCTCCAACTTTTTCAAAAATGACCTTTTTTTTTTTTTTTCTTTTTTTTGTTTTTTTATTTCTTCCCCGATGCGCTTTACAAACGTTCAGCTTTGTCGTTTAAAGGAAGGCTTAAACAGCTAGAAGGACTCTCTCTATAACCATAAAGTTTCTGCAAAGAAAAAAATAAGATTTGGTTATTTCTTCTACACAGTCATCAGTGACGTTTTTCTGTGCAACATTTGGTGTTCGTTAACATTTATTTGGCCTACGGAAAAGGAAACGAGGACAAAAACCAGCTGCAAATAAAAAAAACCCCACTTCTCTTCCACAACAGATACTTCAGACGCCGAAGCTGCTACATGTGCTTGGAATATCATGCAGGAGTTGACTTATTCCTTTAAATAAGATACATATTTATAGCTGAGCTCGTCTGGCAGCGGATGGGGGGGTGAGGGAAAGCTGGAAGAACTCAGTTGAGATATTGTTGGGTGGAGTGAGGAGGAACACACAACCACCAGAGATATTCTGGCCCGAGTGGGGTGTATATAAACATCTGTTATATACACATGGACACACACCAAAAAAAATACACCAAAACCCCAACTCTCAGTGAGTTTGTCACGACGTGGTGTCGCACAACCCGGCGCGGTGCCCACAAAAGAGTCACCGAGGACGTGAGCGACCACGGAGAAGGAACTTTGCCCCTGCCAACTGCCTCCAAGGAAGGAAGATCCCCCCAAACTCTGCCCCCCTGCTCAGAATCCCAGGATTCCAGGAATCCCAGGAAATCCCAGGAACAAACTGTGACTTTACTCCTAGCTGTGACCTCAGCCACACGACCTCGCTGGTAGCCACAGGACCTCCCATGTTGGTGGCCATCGGAGGAAGGCCAAGCTCCCCACAAACGGATGGTGGGCGGGTGGACACGTTGCTAATGATGGAACTGAGGGGTTTTTTTTAATGAGGGACCTGGCAATAATCACTGTCTCCCTCATTCCAAGTGAAATCAGAGGGGAGAGGGATGAGAAAGGCTCTCCCACCCCTCCGGGGAGAAGAAAACCTCACGTGAGGCTGTTTCCTCACGGGCAAGAAAAGCAGGAGGCTCCGCTCGCGGCGGCCGTGCTGGGAATGTCTCAGAGCTGAGGAAAAGGCTCCAAAAAGGCTCCAAACCAAAGGGGAAAAGGACCTTGTGTGTTTCAAGGAGCACCAACCTCTCCTGGATTTACTGCCTTCCTCCCTCCTGACGATGAACAACCCACATCTTTCCATAACTGCTTACTGCCAAGCACGAGCAAACAACCAGATCTGTGGTCTTAAAAGGCTATTTAGGTAATAAATCTTTACGAAAGTCAGCTAACCAGCAGGAAGAGAAACATTCCTAAGAAATTATTGCTTCTGGAGTCTGAGATTGCCATTCCCGAGCCGCGCAGATCCAACCGGACTCTGAAATAAGCCAAGGGATGCAGAAATCCAGGCTGTGCCCTTCCCGAGCCGTTCACGTTTGAGCTTCTCTGCCCTGGTGTGAAATATTTCCAGATGTGCAGGTTTGGGACCACAGCACCCGAGGATCTGAGCACGGATGGGGTCTGAGGTGTTCCCCAGCACCGGTAGAATTGATTCCCAATAGAGCAACACCAAACAGGAACCACGAAACCTCAAGCCCACGGCAGCGAAGGTCCAAAGGGACGGAGGGCGAGGGATGAACTGCACGACTGGGTAACACCAACCACCAGAAAATGATGCTTATTGCCACCAGGAATAAAAAATAAAGCCCCTTCAACTCTCTCTTACCGCAACTTCTCCAACAAACGTGTAAAACCTTACTGTTTTATCTTACAATTGTGACTGAAACCAGAATAATTCCTGTATCGTAAGCCAAGCTAAAGGAGATGCAAAGGAATAAATTGGTGCCTGCTCCACCCTGAGAAGTGCCAGGTTTGAGGGGAAGCTCTCGGGAGCCCTGGCCGGCAGCGCGGCGGTTCCTCAGCCTGGCCGAGCTGCAGGAGGAGATGCTTTGGCAGGGGCTCCCCCAAGTTAATTCTTCTGGCAATACTACAAATACTCCAGAGCGTTGACAATGGATAATTATTTCCTTCAGCTTTCCAGGGGAGTGAAATAGAGCTTCCTGCGACAAGGAGCGTGCGGATCCTTACGGACGGTAATTAAACAGCTCCATAAACAACTCCAAATACAGATTTTAACATCCAGTTCTTAGAAACCAGGCTCTGCCAAGTGCTGGCTGGGACAAAAATCGGCCCTGCCCTGCCTGTGACTGAAACCCCCCTGGGTTCCAAACATCCTTCCCTCCCTCCTCGCCCTTCCCCTGATGAGAAAACTGAAGAACGGTGGGTGAGCTCACCCCAAAAATGGCTTCCCCTTCCCTCTGCCGGGTGCGAAGCCAGAGGGAGCTTCAGCTTCTCTCTGCAGCCAGACCTTGGTCACCTCGATGGTGCTGGGCAAAAAATCTCAACTTTTGAAGGTGCCGTGGGGAGCAACAGCGATTGGAAACCTCAGGGAGAAAAGGCACCCGCCAGAAGATGCAGATTTTTAAATGGTAGAAGAACTTTTCCAGAAATAAAGTCATTAAAGTAAGGATTACTCAACAGCCTGCGATTAACCAAATGTGGAGTCTTTGAGGAGATTTAAAAATAAAATAGTAAAGCCACTTAAAAATGCCTGTCTCGGCGTGTGTTTTACACGAACGCCAGGTATAGGGTGGAATCCACCACTCGTCCCTGCTCGACACGAACATCACCAGAATATGAGGAATATATTCAATGTAACTGAGATGATAAGATTCACGGCAGAAGTTCAGTTAAAGTATTTCTCCCAACTGATCTCTTCCAGAAGGTCTCATGTTCTTCAGTAGTATCATTCCCCTGTCTGAACACAGGTCACAGTATGTGTTTGAAACTAAAAAAAAAAAAATCACTTGGAAGAAAAAAAAATAAACCAACCAAAAAACAACTTTCTCGAGACACTTGGAAAAAAAACCAAACCCAACTAAGTCTCTTGGCGATTCCACCAGCCTAAAACCCCACCGTTGTCACCCTTGACAGCGTGGGACATCGACACCATCAGCTAAAACCCCACCTTCTGCCACCAGGAATTGGGCAACGGCGTTGGCCAAGACTGTGCGTGACCTTCAAACACACCCAACCCCATACGGTTCTTAAATACATCGACGATTCAAGTAATTTATTAAAAACGGCTTGGAAATATAGATATCTCTTCTTCCTTGGAAGGACTGGTTATTGCAGCATGATTTCCACGTGCGGGTTTGAAGGACTGTGGCAGGAGGAGTCTGGGGGAACGCGAGGAGGAGCCGTGAGGAGCATCACGAACGCTTCCTGTGGGACGATGAACACCAAGTTGGGTTTCAGAAGTTTCTGGAAAGGGCCACCAGGTCTCCGAGCTTCGGCTCCCCCTGGAGCAAGCCAAGCAGTGCTTCCCATGGGATTTAACGTGACTCTTTCAAGCTCTTCACAGAAAAAAAACCCCAAAACCCAAACGTCTTTGCGCCGCAGCCATGTCCTGAAGCAAGGAAGGGGACATGGAGGTCGCGCTGATGCCCTTGGTGACGGCAGCTCAGAGGAGCTCCAGCCTGTGATTCCTCCTCCACGGGGACCGGAGCAGCAACACACGCTTCTGGATTGAATTTTAAGGCCTAAAAAACCTGTTTCTGATGAGATTTTTCGACAGCCAGACTATGCCATAAAGTGACAGAGGTAGGCCTTGGGTTCACCTTGTTGGACTGACACCGCGCCTTCACCCCGGCTGCCGCCTTCCCAGCCAGGAGGTTCAAGGATCATTAAAAGTGCAATTAATCGACGACTTCCTTTCCCTAACGAAAGAGAATCCGCACATCCCCCCCCTCCCT